ATATGGACCAAGGTGAAAGATTCTTTAACAGAGGATATAACCATGCACAACAGTGGGTAAACAATAACCAACCTCAACCGCCTCAAACGTGGGGAATGTAAAGTTTTTTATTGAGATGAAATGAACAATGCAGCATTGAGACAAATAAGTTCAAGATGGATTTGTCGGCTTCCAGCAGTTACACCACGTGTTTGTCAAGTTCTTCCTATACCTCAGGAAGTTTTAGACCGACTTAAAAAACAACAACAACCAGTTGAAAACAAACCAAACTAAAATTTTTTACTGAGATGAAATGACCGAAGAAGTTGAAACGGTAGATTTGACACCACAAACAAAAAGTTCAGAACCATTGTCAAAACCTGTCAAAGAACTTACAGATGAAGAGAAAAATTCAATAATAGAAAGTGCCAGATCTGGAAATACAAACCCTAACTACAAAGTCACTTTTCATAAAAATGGAACGGCTAGTATCTCAAAAAAGAAACAGACTCTCACAAATAAAATATTGAAGTCTGAAGGAGCTTTCGAGACAACAGATGGAAAAGTTTACTTCACTGACCAACAGTTCATTATAGAACATCTCATTGACTTAGAGTCGAAATATTCTAAACTTTACAACAAACACAAAAAGTTGAAAGGAAAACAAAAACAAATGGCATATGATATTTATGAAGATGTTGACGACACAACTGTTCCTGCAAGTGAAGTAAAGTCAGAGGAACCAAAAAGTGACGAAAAACCGATAGAAGAAGAAAAACCAAAAACTGAAGATAAACCAAAACCAAAGTTTAGTTTCCAAACTAAACCAAGTCAACCTTCATTAGCTGGTATGGGTTGGCGTCAAAGACTTATGGCAGCAGGCGGTTATGTAAAGTAAAGAAAAAAATATTTTTTTATTTTTATAAAAATGCCCCCATATAGAATGGATAGAAAGTCTGCTAGAATAAAAGCAGAGTTACAAAGATATGGTTGGAGAGTTTCGAAGAAGTTTAAATATAGGAAGGGAAGACCCATAAAAGTCTATGACAAATTGTCTGGTCTTCGCTACGAAATGGATTTGGAAACAGCACGTGCCAATTATCCAAACAGACTAGAGAGGTTAGAAGAAGAACGTCTTATGGACATGCCTTTCGATGTTAGTGAACCTCAAGTTGAAGGACACGACGGCTTTGCCAGATTCTACTGGAAACATGACGAACAATTGCATCCTTTGAGAAGGAAAAAAGGAAAAGGTGAAGACACATGCTCCCATGGAAAGAACAAGATATGCATATGAAAAGTATCGTGAAGTTAGAAGTCAAATTACATCTGGTCGAACCTTTACAGTAAACTTTGACGAAGGAAAGAACAAAGAAGGCTTCATGGGAGTACTTGCTGCAATTCAAGACGGAAATAAGAAAGGACACAATCTCAGATTGACCATAACAGATTTGGATGGTCACATTTACTATGCACATGGCAATGAACAAACAGCCGCAAAACTTCTTGACGCTTTCAAGACTACAAAGAGAGAACAAATGGTTGACTCCGACTCAGACATTTTGAATGCAATTGAAGGAATTGCAAGTGTCAAGTTCGAATGGTACCAACCTAACCCTCAAGCAGTCAGACAACATGCTGGATACTTCCCTTCATAAATAAGTCTGACATTGACTTGACAAGGTATGGAATTTACAATTCAATTGAAACAATTGTCAATGAACCTTGCATTCTTACATGTCTCAGGAACTCTGGTCTTGTTACAGATGAGAAGATGAAGTATCTTGAGTCATGTGTGAAGACAAGGTACATTCTCAGAGGTCAATTGGCAAAAATTGCACCGTTGGCAAATGTCAATATCCGAGTCAACATACCTACAGCTAAAGGTTCTTCACATGACGACTATGTTGTTGAGTTCAATTTACCATGGTTGAAGATTGTAATTGTCCACAACCACTTCATGTTGAACGAAAGTCTTACAAACCCATTGTTCGGAAAAGGCAAGTGCAACATTGTCAGAGCTGTAAACATTCTTTTCGAGAAAGGTTTGTTGGAACCAATTCCAGATGACAAGCTTACAGAAAGTTTTGTACCAAAAGACGAAACAAACTTTTCATTGTTAGCAAGACCAAAAGTTGTTCCAGACAAAGTTCTAGTACAAAAGAAGTACACAGTTCCACAAGGAGTTGGATTGTTCGGATACCAACCTGAACCAGAAGAACTTCCAATGAGGTTGCAAGAACTTCAAGATGCTATAAACAAACTTCCATTGAGACATCCAATTGACGTCAAATTGTATTGGAGAGCATCTGAGTTAGGTCAGAAGGTTTTATATGAAACAGGTTGCTTCGACGATGTTTATGAGATAACAGGAGAAGTTTCTCAGAAGATAAGAGACTCACTTGAATTTCCACAAACTGGACCAATTGGTTGCGACAAGTTCGACTCAAACAAAAGATATACTATGTCGACCTTAACGCTGCATACATGAGGTTTGTCCAATATATTCCGACTGGAATTCCAAACAGATGGTGAGTTCCCGGGAAGGAACTATACAGTTGGAAAAGTCATACAACAACTGTATGATATTAGGAAAGCTTCAAACCCCAAACTTGCAATGACACTCAAATTGCTTATGAATTCGACATGGGGATATTCCATTAAGAAACCTCAAGAGATGAAGAGTAAACATTATGAGAAGGTCGACAACTTTGTTGAAAGGTTTTCTCCTTTTGTTTTGAAGTACGAATTCACTCAAGGTCAAAGTGGCTTAGTAACCACATTAAAACCTATTGTCGAACATTGGTCTTACCCTCAGTTCGCAAAGGCAGTCCTTGACAATACAACAAATTCTTCTCCGAAGTCAAATCGAAAGTGTGGTTTACTATGAGAACATTGACGCACTCATGACGAACGAAGAAGGATACAACAAACTCATTGAAATGGGTTTAGTCGGTGAAAAGATGGGCTGTTTTAAGCTAGATAAGGTTTTTTCAGAAGTTCATGTAATATCGAAAAGGAAATATTGGGGCATACTTGAAGACGGCACAGAAATAAAACATTGCATGAAATAAAAAATTTATTTTAAAAAAGTGACATTTTTTTATTTTATTTGAAATGTACGCTGAGTTTGTTGGAGAAGACCGTTGGGAAACTTGTTTGTTAGATGAGAAATATGAAATGGCATACCATTTTAAAACAATATATTTTTACATATATTAAATGCTTCAGGTTGAAAAACAAAGAACAAAAGTAGCAGATACAAAACCGTTAGACTATATCTTTACAAATGCTGGTAGGACTATTTCAGATGAAGAAATTTCATCCCGAGCATACAGGTTTGACTATCCAATTCGTTGGCTTCAAAGTCCTTCAGATGCAAAGGCAATAGGATTTAGAAGAGTTTTGTTTTCAAATAGAACTAACGCATTTATGTTCGCAGTATATTTTCATGGGCAGTATAAAGGTTCTGATGGTCTAATAGACAAATTTGACGAAATGAGAATCTTTACAGTTCGTTCAGACGAAAGTCTTGAGAAAACTCTAAATGACTTTCAAACTCAAATGAACAAATATTATTGGGAATTTCAAGAAAAATACGACTCTTTACTAAATGGAACATACTATCTGAAACTAGAATATGACAAGATGAACTCCACCGTTTCATTTCAAAAGATTGAAATTAACCCTCCAAGAGATACAGAGTTTTTATTTTGGAAAGTAGACAAACGTTCTTGGGCACAATTTCTTCGGTTACTAAACCAGAACGAACCATTACCACCAGATGGTCCATTTAAATTTATACTTCCACCAGCAGATTTGACAGTTTATAGAAACGTGTTTGACCCTCAAAATGTTATGTGTCATGCAAGTTTCAGTTCAAGCAACAATAGTTTTCTATGTATTGGTAAGGACTTTATGACTTTGCTTCTAAATTCTACGAACCACCTAGTAACAGTTTCTCTGACTTTCAAGTTTGGTTCACAACAAATGGTGTGCAATATATTATTCCATTGTACTATGACTTTTATCTCGAATTGTCTTTCATATATAACTACGGAAAAGTGCTGAAAAAGTATTGAAAAATACTTTTAGGGTAGCATGTTAGATCTAACACGTTTTCTAACCACTTTTCTAACATCGTAGAAAACTCATGAAAACAATTTATTTTTGACACTTTCACAAAAAGCATAAAAAAGTGAAGTTAAACGTTAAGGTTTACTGAACTGGTCGGATGTCGCCTTCACAGGTTATGTAGAACGGCTGACCCGAGAAGTGAAGGAGAGACTGAATTGCCAATTTCATATGGGGTAGTGGGTTCTCCTTGTTTGGTATTTTTATCCAAGGACGTTTGTTTAGGAACTTAACAAGAGCTTCTCTTTTGGCGTCCTTTATGTCGTCGAAAGGAGTGTTTTCTGGTATTTGAATTGGAATTCCGGTCGAAGTCTCGAGATTCAAGGCAGCCCTTCCAGAAATAGTGGTGAACTTGACCTTGGGCTTCATGACCTTGCGCAAGTAGTCTTTTACGCAGTCGTTAATTTCAATTAGGTAAACTGCCTCGTCAAATCCTTCTGGCATTCCGAGTCCTTCCATCCGACAGGAAAATATTTTCCCGACAACTGGAAAAAATTTTCCTTCCGACAGAAAAAATTTTTCCTTCCGACAGGAAGAACTCTTCCAGTTGTCCGTCCGTAAACCATTCAAATTTTCGAAAATTGAGAACTTTTTGGTCGAACTTCAGAAAAAGTTCTTCCTTCCGACAGGAAAAGTTTTTCCTTCCAACAGAAAAAGTTTTTCCTTCCAACAGAAAAAGTTCTTCCTTCCGACAGGAAAAGTTCTTCCTTCCGACAGGACACAAACGAATGTCCGACGTCCCTCTTCCTGAACGCCTTCCAAAGCCAGAGGAACCTAAAGAACCATAACAGTCCCCTCAGTTCCAGCAAGTACCTCCGAATTACTACCAATTTCCACCTCAAGGTTACTACCCACCACAAGGCTTCCCGAACTACCCTCCTCAGCCTATGCCTTACTGCCCCAACCCTTGGTTGTTCCAGCAAGCTCCACCCCAGCAATTCCAATCTCAATCCAAATCGAAGAGAGACCAAGAGTTCGAAGAAGGTCTGAACCGCTTACGCAAAGAGTATGCTACAGCTCCAATTGAGAGAAAGTTGTTCCCGGACCAAAAAATATAATTTAGGTGAAGAGGTTAGATCTAACCTCTTTTTTCACCTGTTTTCTCACCCTCATGAATTTTCATGAATTTTATATATTAATGTTTTCGTTAAGCCACTTTGTGCCGTCAGTCAGTCAGTTTAGGAAAGACTTTAGAAAGTTGTTGGAAAATAAGTCCTGGGAAGAGTATTATAAGGCATTTTGTGAAGAATATAGCAACCGCCGGAATTCCGGCGGTTGCTTTTTATACAAAATTCATGCAGGAAATTCTTGAGTTTTGGTTGAAAGAATACGGTGGAGCCAAAAGTGGCTCGACCTCAAAACAAGCATTTTATGAGCTTACAAAGGGTGTTATGAATGAATTCAAATGTATTTACATACATCCTGACCTCGTTCATTTTGTTGCTGAATTCAGCAAAAATAATGTTTAGGTGAAGAGGTGAGATCTCACCCGTTTTTTCACCTGTTTTCTCACCCTCTTGAATTTTATATATTAATGTTTTCGTTATGCCACTTTGTGCCGTCAGTCAGTCAGTCAGTCAGTCAGTTTAGGAAATTTACACCAAAAATAATGTTTAGGTGAAGAGGTTAGATCTCACCCGTTTTTTTCACCTGTTTTCTCACCCTCTTGAATTTTCATGATTTCATCGTACATGCTTTGTCAAGACTTCTTCGTAAATGTTTTGTCAAGACTTCTTCGTACATGTTTTGTCAAGACTTCTTCGTACATGTTTTGTCAAGACTTCTTCGTACATGTTTTGTCAAGACTTCTTCGTACATGTTTTGTCAAGACTTCTTCGTACATGTTTTGTCAAGACTTCTTCGTACATGTTTTGTCAAGACTTCTTCGTACATGTTTTGTCAAGACTTCTTCATCGTAATGAGCGTAAATCAGACAAAAATATATTTTAGGTGAAGTGGTGAGATCTCACCTCTTTTCTCACCTCTTTTCTCACCTCATGAATTTTCATGATTTCATCGTACATGTTTTGTCAAGACTTCTTCGTAAATGTTTTGTCAAGACTTCTTCGTATATGCTTTGTCAAGCATATACGTTCATGTTTTGTCAAACATGAACGTACATGTTTTGTCAAGACTTCTTCGTAAATGTTTTGTCAAGACTTCTTCGTATATGCTTTGTCAAGACTTCTTCGTATATGCTTTGTCAAACATGAACGTAAATGTTTTGTCAAACATGAACGTATATGCTTTGTCAAGACTTCTTCGTAAATGTTTTGTCAAGACTTCTTCGTATATGCTTTGTCAAACATGAACGTAAATGTTTTGTCAAACATGAACGTAAATGTTTTGTCGAAACTTCATCGTAATGAGCGTAAATCAGACAAAAATATAATTTAGGTGAAGAGGTGAGATCTCACCCGTTTTTTCACCTCTTTTCTCACCCTCATGAATTTTCATGAATTTCCTTAAGATAGAAAAAATAAAGTTAGTTTTATTTTATTTATTTTTTTATTTTGTATAAAAGATATGATTTCAGGGATTTTTTTGACGAAGTGTTAACCTTCACTTCGTCAAAAATAACAGTTATATAATGAAAAAGTGAAAGTTATTCTTCATTTTTTTGTATGTTAGATATGATTTCAGGGATTTTTTTGACGAAGTGCAAACCTTCACTTCGTCAAAAATAACAGTTATATAATGAAAAAGTGAAAGTTATTCTTCATTTTTTTGTATTTGACGAGAATGTCGGGTAGATGGTTAGATCTAACACGTTTTCTAACACGTTTTCTAACCTCTTGAATTTTCATGAATTTCCTTAAGATAGAAAAAATAAAGTTAGTTTTATTTTATTTATTTTTTTTATTTTGTATAAAAGATATGATTTCAACAATCGGCACAACAACAATTCAAACAACAGCACCAAACTCGTTAGTTATGAATCCTACGTCAATGTTAGTAGAGATGAAAAGCTTCATTCCTTCTTCATATACTTTTGAAACAGAAATCCAGAAGATAAAGCAAGAACTTTTAACAAGTAATTTAGACTGTACCGCACAGGATGAAGAAAATGAAGAATATCTTTATGAAATGCAGGACATTATTGACCATTTGCCTAAACTACCTGAAATCCAACAACAAAAACTCACTATTCCTGAATTTGACGAAATTGAAGTGAAACCAACTGACTCAGTAGAAATAAAGAAGTTCATACGAAAGGTAAATTATGAATTCCTTGGTTTTCATTGCAACCATAAGGTTATGGACAAAGATTGCGACATGGTTTATAAAAATATTTCTGACATATATAAATCTGAAGAATTTAAGACCTACGACAACTTTGTTTCGTTAGTTGCTGAATGTGTTTGGGAAATAAGAGATAAAGATAGAAGAGGCAAAGTATGGAACAAACAAATAAGACCCGCTATGTTTGAGATGAAGAGAGCAATTGACGCTTTAGTTGTTTTAGCTGGTTTTATTTCAATGTATAACGCAAAAATGAACCCGCAATGTTCAAAATGTAAGGCAGCAATGAGGAAATATAACTACTCCGTCAAAGAGATAGAACGTATGAGAAACGACTATGCAGACTTAAAGAAAGAAGCAGAAAAGCCAGCAGAAGATAAAATGAACATGTTAGAATTTCTGAACAAAAACTATCCAACTGCTGACGATTTCCTATTATCTGACGTCAAGAAGAAGTATAAAGAAACTTTCGGTATCGTTAAAACATTCGATGTACTAAAAGAAGAAATAGAAGCTACAAAACTGTTTAGGATTTCAAATATACATCGTACAATTCATGTAAAACGCTTGTGAAAAAACAGGTGAGAAAACGGGTGAAAAAACGGGTGAGATCTCACCTCTTCACCTAAACATTATTTTTACTGAATTCAGCACAAATTTCATGAGTTTTGTGTGTTTTAGACCATGTTAGAAAACAGGTTAGAAAACGTGTTAGATCTAACATGCTAACATAAACTTTATTTTTGCTATCTTAAGGAAATTCACGAAAATTCATGAGTTTTGTGTGTTTTAGACCATGTTAGAAAACAGGTTAGAAAACGTGTTAGATCTAACATGCTAACATAAACTTTATTTTTGCTATCTTAAGGAAATTCACGAAAATTCATGAGTTTTGTGTGTTTTAGACCATGTTAGAAAAGAGGTGAGAAAACAGGTGAGATCTCACCTCTTCACCTAAACTTTATTTTTGGTCATTTACAATGAAGTCTTGACAAAACATGGAATCTCTTCCCTCGGAAAACCGAGAGAAGAGATTCCGTATGAAAACAGTGAAGAACAGCGAGTAGGTAAGAAACCTTAGTCGCCAAAACTCTATGAAAACAGTGAAGAACAGCGAGTAAGTAAAAAACCGCAGTCGCCAAAACTCTATGAAAACAGTGAAAAATAACAGAGTATTTTGACAACTTCAAACAAGTAGGGTAGATGAACCATTTATTTTTCAAGCTTGACTTTTTACAATTTGAACTTTGTTTGCGTAGATATGAATTCTGAAAGAAGTATGAGGGTCTTGTATGACTTTGTACTTCTCCCATAGTTCATGTCTGTCAAACTTACCTGCCATGGACTCTTTCATAAGTTCCATGAAATCGTCTTCGGACAATCCGGGGAAAAGTATTATGTCAGTAAGTATTCTTTTAACATCCTTACTTAAACTCTTTGCTGTCTGTACACAAATGACAACTGAGATGTTAAAGTGTCTGAGCTTCTTAAGAATTCGACACATATCTTGTTCTCTGTTCTTTAACAAAGGATGAGAGGCGAAATCATCTAAAATAAGAAGACATCTATGAGGGTAAGTCTTCCAATCGTAAGATTGCAATTTCTTCGAAATGTATTCTATCTCTTTCTGTTTGTTTCTGAAGTGTTTCTTCTCTAATATTCTCTGCATTTCCTCATTTGGGTCTTTAAACTTCGAATTTATATACTCATTTATAGCATTATACTTCAAAACTCTTCTTTGGTACTTCTTTATCCAATCTAACAACTCAGTATCCTTTATACATACTAACTTAGACTTCTTTATAATATCTTTGAACGAATTGACGGTTTGGTCAAATTGACCAGAAGTACTACAAATAACAACTAACTCATAGAATGGGTTCTTCTCATCTAGTTCTTGTTGTTGTGCAGCCATTTTAAGATAAGTGAAAGTCTTACCCGACCCAGGTGGTGCAATTAGACCTGTTATACCATTCTGAGCAAATAAGAACTTGTCATGTATAGGTTTTATCTGAGCATTTTCTAACTTCACCTTGTTCTTGTTTAAAACATTCTCAAATTTCTTGTCAATGTCAGCAAACTTTTTTTCTAACATATTTTTAGAAAAATTAAAATTTTTATCTTTTAGAAAATGTCTAGCGATTTCACTATCTATATTCGAGACAAACTTTTTGACAGCAAAACATCTGTCGACCATAAAATCTTACATAGTGTAAACAAGAAAGGGGAATTTGTTCTAAAGTTCTGTTTTTGGGAATATGACAAGAACCATAAAACATTAAGCAGAGCAGTCTTAAAATTTGTCAATGACAGACTTGTTGACAGAGATGACACCGATTGGAAAGATGAAGTCCAACAAAAGTTCTTAGAATGCAAAGAAGACACATGCGCTGTTCTTGAAGATGAAATAGAAAACAGAATAGATGAGCTATTAAAGGACAAAGAACTTTTACATAAATATGGTTGCGCCAAATTTGACATAACTCCACCAGAAAAGAAGAAGAGAGAAAAGAAAGAAAAGAAAGTAGAAGAAGAGAAGAAAGAACCTGAACCAGTTCCAGAGAAAAAAAATTTGACATGTAAAAATAAAATTTTATTTTTAGAACATTTCTGGGTCAATGTCAATGTTCTCTTCCTCTTTAGGAGTAAACACTGGCTTAGACTCTAAAATCTTTTTACCCAATTTACCTTGAACTTCTACAACTTTAGACTCATAATATTCATAGTCGTCTGCTTTCTTTGGTTCATAAGGTATAACAAGTTTGTATGCTTTGCCTTCTTTAAGGTTTGAGAACCTTCTGTCAAAACTTTCTTTGACTGTTAACAAACCTTCTATGTCTAAGTCTTCAAATTTCGCACCATTTTTAGTCACAATAGCAAACTTAACTGGTTCGATGTTCCAAACTTTGCTGAATGAAGACTTTTCAAAATGGTAGAAGTAAACATTCAAATATGTGAATGGGTCTAGTTCTTCTTTAAGTCCTGACATGTACTTGTTTACTGAGATGAATTTCGTCATCTTTTCTATCGGATAAAAAAATATTTTTTTTTAAATTTACTCAGAAAAATTTTTCTTTGTATATACACCATTCTGTACGTCTAAAAGACTTTTGACATTTGCCAAGAATGTACGTTTAGACGCTGCCATATAACCATATTCTTGACAATATTGTTTATACGAATCGTACAATGACCTTTCATCTAATGACACAAAGTCAGTTTCATCTATGAACAGTTCATATACACTCTTGTTTGCTTCTAACAATGTTTGTCTCTCTTCGGTATGTGGAATTTGTCTTGGATTGAACTTAGAAATATCTAATGTCATGAAATATGAGAACAAGTGGTTGTAAAAGTCAGATGTCAAAGTTTCTGCTAAGTCGTCAAAATATTCTGTATCTTGCATATGAGAATCTGACGTTCTGACAACTACATATATTCTGTCAGAACTTTCTAACTTCATCGGAACAGCATTGTTTGAAACCATAATGAAGTTTGCAACATTTTCACAAACTCTTTGGTCTTTATACTTTCTTTCAACAACTCCAACTTTGTCTGTTATAAGACTCTTCAAAGCATCTGAGTTCAAAACTTTTGTTGTATCTATACTTTGAAGTTCATTGCAAACTATAAGTTTCATATTCTCAATAGAAGAGTTAAATTTACCGCAGATGTTTTCTAAGTTTGTCATATTAGGGTTCGAATAACCTTCTAACAGTTTGCATAAGATATCTGTAAAGAAAGTATTCTTACCAGTTCCTTGTTTTCCAATTATAATGAGAGCAGTTTCATTTTTAGCACTTGGATGTTGTAAGATATTTGCAAACCAACATAAGATATACTCATAAACCTTTTCGTTTCCATTGCATATAATTTCTTTGACATGGTCTAACCAAGCTTCTATAATATTTTCTTTCCATTCTACTTGTTCGTATTTATATCCAGTGAAGATAGAATAGAAGTTTGGAGAAGGTGTATAAAACTTTATACCACGAACTGAAAAATCTTCAAGTTTTGACAATAAGATATCCCAAGCATCTAACATCTTCATGCCAACTTGTACGACTTTTATTTTCTTAAGTTTCTGTCTACATTCTTGTTCTGAAACTATTGTCGCTTTAGGTTTGTTAAAGACTACATCCCATTCTTTCATAACATAACATTCTGGGGCAGAGTCGACATAAATGACTAAACGTTTCAAATTCTCGACTGCTTTGTTATAGTCTCGAAATAGACACATATTTCTGAATGCTTGGAAGTCATAAAAATCTGAAACATCTATTCTGTACATTTTTATAAAAATAAAAAAAATATTTTTTTTATTCTTGACTTTGTTGTTCCATTTGTTGCATTTGTTGTTCTTGAGCTATTTGTTGTTGAAGTTGTTCTTGTAATACAATACTTTCACCAGTTGCATCTTCCAATTCGAAACTTTCTGCCGTCATTGACAAATACATAGGACATAAAAGTTTTACAGGAACAAAGTTTGCGTCAACTAATGTCAACGTTATACTTGCCAAAGTGTTTGAGTTCACTAAGGTTGAAAATTCTGCATTCGAATGAACAATAGGCAAACCAGCAGAGAAAGTATTGTTTATACGCATAAGTATCTTTTGGTCATAATAGTTTCTGTCGACATTCGAATAACACTTTGAACCTAAGTTTGAAACAATATATAAGATTGGTGTGCTTAATGTCAATGGAATAGACATTCCTTGTATGACACCTTTTCCTGTTATAGGAAACTGTTGGTAGTAAAAACCAGAAATAAGTTTTGTATTATAGCTCATATCGTTTATAGTAAACTCAGTCGGACATCCAAACATAATGAAACCTGCTCTAGTTGCAGCACATGTTACACCCGTACTTAAAGTATTAAATAAGTCAACAAAACCTGTTGGTGGTATATCTGAGTAAGTATCTTCAAAGGAGTATTTTTTACCATTCACAACAATAAAGTCTTCTGGTGTCAAAAGAGCAAAACAGGCTTTAGTCGTCATTGTGTTTAAGGTTAGTTTACAATATCGTCCTTGAGGACTTTGTAAGTTTGTTGTTATAGAATTATATGACTCAGGGTTTTTAGTCGTAATAGTATAAACCATTATGTCTTCTGCCATTTATATATATTTAAAAGTTTTTCTGAAAGTGGAGAAGAACTTGATCTAAACTTTCACATGGCGTTTCTTGAAGTTCTCTGTCTAAGAAGTTCAAATATTTTGTAAAGACATAGAACTTTCCTTTGTCTACACGAACAAACAAAACAGGGTCTTTCATATCGTTCAAAAGTGTGTAAAGTCCTTTACATGAAATAAAGTCTATATTATTTTTCTTCAAACATCTTTCAAGAAGTTTTGACATTTTTTACTTAGCAAATAAACTTTAATGAAATGTTGTGGTCGTCAAATATTTTTATAACGTCTGGGAAACTATACTTTAAGTTCAACGTTTCACCTCCTTTCATAACGTATATCTTGTCAATGACATTATATGAAACACCACAGCAACTAATGTCGGGTTCTATTTCTTTGATGTTTATATCGTCTGCCTCTGTCAAAAGTTTCAATAGTTCTTTCAAGACTTCATGAGGTGCAATGACATATGAGTTCACTTTTACAGGGTTGTGTTCGACCAAGTTTAACATTATACTTAAAGCTTGACAAATCTTCTCCTGAGTTTGAAGTTTGTCTTTCAGTTGTTGGTAGTCATTTCGAATATCTGCAACAGAACTTAAGTCTCTGTTAACTTCAGGATATGTTGGTTCTTTTACAGGAACAATTGTTATACCATCTTCGTCTTCGTATGGTTTCCCCACTTCAACATCTCTGTCTTTGACATTGACAACAACACTTTGACTGTTTGTTTGAGTTGGTGAATTTAACTTCACATCTGCCACCGCCATTAAACCTTTTGAAACACTTACGCTTCTATTTTTCGGAAATGACATTTTACTTAGAATAAAAAGATGGACGTATTTGAGTATCTCTTTGAATTGAAGCAGAACAAAGTTTATACTCACAAACAATACAAATACATTGACAGAATAGTTCTTTACACAAACAATGGAAAATGTTATAGAATAGCAGTCTTTGCTGAACCTAAATATTTTCATAAAGCAAAGAAAGTTGGTATAACTGAAATGGTGAAAGTTCTTGAAGCAGACAAAAATATAACTTCAAAACTTACAGATATTACTAAAGGAAAGTTTATAATACAATATTATGTCAAAACTGGCGTACTGTCAATATTTGACGGAGAGAAGTCAGTTCAAGAACAACTTACTGACCTGCTGCCAAAATCTGCTCGATGGAAGCTGTCGTTATGCCAATCTGAGGAGCCCCAGCAGGTTTCATCGAACGAATCTTCAAAAGCGCATCTTCTGTGAAAAGTGCTATTGGTTTTGTAAACTTCTTTGCTTTCAATTCATCTGGACCGTCTCTGTCACCAGTATATTGTATTTGTACAGTACCAACAGTTGAAATACCACCCATAAAGTCTTCTGAGTCAGCAAATGGAATGCCAAGCCAAAAGTTTGAACGGTCTCCATTTGTATATTGAGTTTTTTGACCTCCTGTATGAGTCCATACTTTCACATATGGCATAATAGAACTTTGCATTTCAGGGTTAATGGTTGTTGTGAAGTTGTTGTTAAAGTTCATAGCATCTAATGTCAAGTTGTATGACCTCATATCCTCAACTGTAGAATATTCTTCTCTTGGATAATATTTGCCATCTATGTTTATATGATATTTAATACCAGGGTTGTAGAAACAAGAATAGTCATTTATAGTTCGTCTGAACAGTACAAACATAGTATCTGCATGTTTCATTGCAGTTGTTAAAGCAATATCTGTTCTTGCACCTGGGTCAGCACTTTGGTTTCCAACTTCACCTGCAAAGTCTTTGACAGATATTTGGTGTATAGGGAACATAAGTGGAACTGCAATATATTTGGCAGCTAAAGCATTTGAAATATCTGGGTCCAACATATAAACGGCAAGTCTGCTTTCTATTCTCTTGCATTCAAACTTTTCGCATGTGAACTTAACTGGGTCCCAAGCATCTCCAGCAGCATTGAAATAATAGTTTACTTCATTGTTGAAGTTTGAGAAACCAAAGTCTAAGTCAACTTTGTCTTTGCAAAATTCGGCGAATGATGTTTTATTTGTTCCCTTTACGTCTGTAATAGTGAATGGGTCTTGTGTTGGTGCAATGACTAAGTTATTTTTGCTTGGAGTAAGTTCGATAGAAATTTTTCCTGCCCAGTTTGGCAAGTATCTTAAAAACCTGAAGATGAGGAAAGATGACAAAGGAACTCTAAGTTTCAGTTTTACTTTAGTGGCAGCATTTCCATCTGAACCAGAAAGGTTAACATAAACTCCTGGAACGTTAGGGTCAAGTCTTCTTATTTTCTCAATATTTGCATACTGGTCTGTTTGTTCTCTAGCTTGTGGTTGTACTGAGTTTCTCAAAGCGAACCATTCATAGTTTGCCCATGTTACTGTTTGAACTAAGTCAGAGTTAGAATATATCTTATATCCCATGAAAACTTCTGGAGCATATTGGTATCCGACATAGAAAATTCCATTGCAACCTTTCTTGTCAGACAACTTGGCAGAAGGTTTTATTTCAATGTCTTGTTCCACGTATAAGAATGAGTTGTCAATAGAAATAATATGAAACCTGTCGCAAGCAATATCTACTGTTGTTGAAGAACCTTCTCCAAACTCACCTACGTTTCCATAAGAAACAGCAGTTGTATATTCGTAAGTTCCAGGAACTATTTCTGACCTTCTAATGGCATTGTCGCATTCGTTATACCATTCGGAAACATTTCCGTTCATGGCATCCAAAACTGTTGGCGTTATATTCTGAGCGGCGTACATTTCATATGGGTAAAAATATAGAATAGTTGGATTTATATGTCATAATAGAACCCAATCGGACCAAGCTTTACTTTCTTCCTGACTGAGTTTTTAACTCTTCTTTTTCCTTCATTGCCACTACTTTCACTAGATGAAGTTACTTCTTCACTACTTTCACTTTGTTCTACTCTTCTCTTCTTCTTTGGTGTCGCTTTTGGTAACTTGCCCTCTGCTTCAAGTTGTTGCATCTTTGCCTCATGTTCACCTAGTATGTTGTAAATTTCCCATGTCCTTTTTGCCTTTGGGCTCTGGTCGCCCATCTCAGGTAACCTATATCCTAGAAAGATTTTGTCATAGTTTGTATTTGAGTCTTCGCGTATTGTTTGCATGACTCTTTCCTGAGTTTCCGGTTCAAGCTCTTCAAACAGAGCTTGTCCATATGGAATAAGCTCGTTTCCAAATATATGTTTTTGTAGCCATTCTGGTTTTCTTTCCATGTTACCAATAATATCTTTTGTGAATGGGAAAGCTTTTACCCAATGTTTCAGTCTTGCGTCATTTATTTCTGTAGTTGGTTTTATTTTGTCAAGGAACATGTTTTTCAATACTAACATTTCATTTGGTACTGTCCATTTGAGTTTACTTAAATATTCATCCTTCTCGGTTCATTGTCTGCAAAGTAAGTTTTTATGACATTTTGTAAACTTTCGTTTGCAAGGTCATGTACAATAGGTTCTCTTCCTTCTCTATCCCTAACTTTCTTTCTAAACTCTTCACCAAATATACCATCTTTATGGTTCTGTGTAGTTCTTTGAGATAAATGTTCTAGAACGTCAGGTGTTATATTTCCATCAGCCATGTTCATTTCATACTGGTCCAAAATATCTGCATGTTTCATATCTTTCAATGGCATTAAAGCCGCGCTGAAAATACCAGCTATATCTGGTTCACCATTCACTTCCATTGCGTCTACAACTTCTTGGAATTGAGGTTGTAAGTTTATGAACCACCTATCCGGATTAGCTTTATGACCCCATCTCATTGTAGTTCCATAGTCTGCAGAAACAAAAGTAGGTTTGTTTCCATATTGGCTAGGTTCTGAATGAACTTTAAACAATGTTTCATTTCTATATGTTTTGTTGAAATTTAACCTTTTATTTTCACCGAGTTCAGCCAAAGATTGAACGTTATATGGTCGTAAGTAAAAAGGATATTGTATTTGCGTACATTTTCTTTCAGTACTTCCATTCTATGCTGAATATTTTCATCTGATGTTGGAGTCTTTTGTATGTCGGTGAACATTTTTCGATATTCTTCTACTCTGTCAGCCGAATTTTTCTTAGACTCTTGGAAAGATTCCATATTCACCTCATAGTCTTGTTGAGGGTCAAGATTTTTCGGCTGTTCCAAATCTTCATCTAGTTCTGTGAAGTTAGTTTCCAAAGGAGGAACTTGTTCGTTTCCTTCAGGCTCTTCTAGCTGTTGTTGCTGAACTATTTCTTCCATGTCTGGTTGTATCTGAACTTCTTCCTGTTGAGTTTCTTGTACCTCATCTGGTGGCATTTCATATATTCCGAGACCGTTTTTAAAAAGTTCCCTATCTAAGTCATCCGGACTCATAAACCTTTCTTCTTTCGTTCCGTCTCTATTTTTTACGCGTTTCATGAAGAGAGTTGAATTATCATTTAGCTCTGACATCAAATATCTCGGAGTAAATTCATCCATGTCATTTGGATGATATGCTATTAAATCATATCCCTTAGCGAGCTTGTATTTTCCAGGTTTGAAATTATATCCCCTTTGGTGCAGAGCCATAAAGCTAAATAGGTTCGGGTCAGTATTTCCATCCTTGAACTTTCTAATAGCTTCTTTATATCTGTCACTAAAGTCAATAGTATCTGGGTAACCATACTCTTCCTTCAGCATTTTTAAGAATTCTTGGTTTCCTTTTTCTCTACTTCTTTTATGTCCTTGCTCTGTTTGTGGTTGCTGTGCAGGGTTTTGAACTGTTGGTTGTTGTGTAGTGTTTTGAACTGTTGGTTGTGGTGCTGGATTTTGAACTGTTGGTTGTTGTTGTTGTTTTGGTGCATGCCTGTGTCTGTGTCCATGTGACGATGTAAATGTTTTAGGTAGTCCTGGTGCAGGTGCTTCTCTTGGAGGGTTTGGTGGTATATAAGTTCCACTAGCTAGTATATAAGTTCCACTAGCTAGTATATAAGTTCCACCAGCTGGTATATAAGTTCCACCAGCTGGCACATATGTTCCATCTGCAGCATAATGTCCTACCTGACTTTTCGTTCTTAAGAAAGCATTTACTAGGTCTGTTTTGGTCTGTTGTAACTCTTTTTCTTGACTTTCCACAACAGTTGCTCTAACGGCGTCATAGGCACTTTGAACTGCCTGTCTCGTTGCTGCATCTGTTATTTTCGTCATATTTTGTGCTACTTCTCTTAACTCTTTGTCGAAACCTTCAGACTTCAGTTTCTTTCCAGATGAGAAGTCGTTCACTAGTTTCACCTTACTATGAAGAGCTTCGAAGGCATTCTTAAAGTCAGCATTCATTAAAGCTTCATTTGAACTGTCTTCATCCGCTTGTATTTTTGTCCTTATTGACCCTATAAGTTGGGCTGCTTTAGCGTTGGCTTGGGCATCTAACCAGTCATTATTAGCTTTTATATATTCTGCGCTTTTCATTGCCTTTGCATGCTGCGTCGTTATTTTTACTTTCTTGTGCTAAGTTTTCATACTGTACGGTTTGGTTTTGCAACTGTAAAAGTTTTTCTGCCTTTACATTTGCTTCAACTTCTTTTTTACTCATCGCTATCCATATATGTCTTCATGGCTTTTTGTTTTATCTCTTCATCTTTCAGTACTTTATATTGATAGTATGGTTTTTCAAATTTATAACATCTTGTTCCATTTTTGCTACTTCTGCTGCTTTTTCTGACACTTTTTTCGCATATTCCTCTGTACTTAGTTCTTTCAGTTGTTCTTCTTTCTTCTTTTTCTCTACGTTTAACTCATTGAGTTTCTTTGTGTGTCTGTCATATTCTAGTTTCTTTTCGTTTTCACTTATTTGTTTCTGTATGTCTATGTTTGACTTTTTGACATCTGTTATTTGATTTTTGAGTGAACTCAAATTCATTTGACTTTGAGGGTTATAAGCTGTTCCGTCTGCAGCTCCACCATAGCCTGCCATTTTCGCTAAAAGTGCCGCTCTTAAACCTCCACTCTGTGCACCAATAACTCGGTTTAAAAGCATAGGGTTGCTTGACATTTGTTGCAACATAGTGGGGTCATTCATCATTTGTTGTTGCAACTGTTGTTGTGGTGTCAGTTTTACTATTGGATGTTTCAATGCTCCCTTCCTCTTACGTATATTCTTACGTAGCTTACGTGGCATTTTAAGTGAAGTAAAAAACGTTTTTTGACAGATGTTTATATGACACTTTTGTTCAGCACAAAAAACTACTCGGTCAAAGTGTTGTCAGTTTTGTAAAATAACCGTCCTATCTCATTCTATAAGGGGGAAAAGGCTTCTCAAAGTATACTTCCTTGGAACGCCGGTAACTTTTCCTGTAGCGACGATAGACCCTTACTTGTCCGGACAAAGTTATACTATTTTGAGTGCTCTACAAAAAAGTCAACGGCTGGTCGGCTGGGGTTCGGTCCTCCTCTTGGGTCTTGGGCAAAATTTCTTATGGGCTAGAGGGCGCAACGCGCCTGGAAGCCCTCCGAATATAAACTTCATTTATACTAAACATCTTCAGGGCTAGAGGGCGCAACGCGCCTGGAAGCCCCACTACCTTTTTTTTTTCATTATGTATGGGCTGAGTGTAAATGTCTTACAATTTTGAAAATTTTTTAAATCTTGATTTATTCAAAAATGTAAGAATAAAAACCGTAAGAATCATACATTTTTTACTTCATATGTTAAAAAAAATGATACAAAATCGCTCGATATTGTATGAATTCTTACGTTTACAAAAAAAGTCACAAAACCCATCAACATATACTACTAAGTAAATTTATTCAAATTTGAGTTAGGATGCTATAAATTTCTGAAAAAACACCATAATGAACAATTTTCTGATGTTTACACTAGGACGCCGACCTCGTTTTATTTCCAAAACTATCAAAATTAAAAAATTATTTTTAGAAATGGTTTTTGATTCTTAATCATTTGATATCAAACTTCCATATGATAACTATATATATCATTAAGCGGTGCTTCGTACCAATAGATTAAAAACAATTTGGAATTTTGTTACGTTCATCGAAAAATAAATCAAAATCAGTATTATAGATTCAGATCATCCATGTATTAATCGATTTCGCAATTTCACTAACGTATCAAAGTTTCAATTAGTTCATCTGTCATTAAATAACTAAAAGTTATGTATTATGCATTATGGTTCAATTTAACAGGGTTTGAAAGGATCCTACATGGAATATTTGAAAATAAAAAAGAACGTTATCAAAAATTATGTAACAAAACAATATTTAATCGACTAATATTGAACTTTTGTCTGAATTATTTGAGGTTTTCGAAGTACTCTTTAGCGAAATCTAATGGTTTCTCAGGTTTATTTTCAATAATCGCAACCATTAAATCAGCAATGACTGTTTTGATTTCTGGATGTGATTCCAAGTACTGCTTCACTTCTAATCTCTGCTGAGGAGAGTATTCTTCTGGTGCAGAAATGACATCTTCACTCATTGTTTATAAAAAGTGACACCCTCAACTTTAACGAGGGGGATAATCATAAGGTTTAAATCTTTTTTTCCTCCCTAAATTCTGGTTAAAAAGATGTTGAGTGTAACAGATCCATTTGAAAACAATCAGATGAAGGATCTTCAAATAGGTGGCACTGACGAAACAGTCATGAGCATTGATGCACAATCGCTGAAAGAGGATATTTTAGTAATTATCTTATTCTTTTTCGCAATTTTAGGTGTTTCAATATCAACACTCTTCTCACCAAATTCAGTGATATGGAATTCGAATACTCTCACAAAAATGAATCAAAATAATGGAAAATATTCCCTTGAATTAGAATCAATCAAACCTCTTAACACATTCAATTTAATTCAGTTATCAGTATCTCTTCTTAAGGAAGTTAAAGATATCCCGAACATGTCAATTCGCTACAACTATACTACGTTTAATAACTTTTTTATGCATTCAGGAGAAAATACTATCAGTAAAATTCATTTCTCTTCCAAAGAAAATCCATCAGCAAATGAAACATTGTGTGCTTTAAATCAAATTAAAGCAGAAAAACTCAGAATTGAATTAATTCCAACAAATTTCACAGAAATTAAAGACATTATTGTGACTTACAGTTTAGTTAATCCAGATTCAGTACACTTCCAACTTGTTTCTCGTTCAATTTTCCTCATGTCCACAATTATTACAATTGCTGTTTTTGCAATCAAAGTCAAGAACCAAGATGGCTCAATAACATACGAGCAAATATTGACACTCGCATTACTCTCTGCTGCATTGTTCCAAATCTCTCCGTTGTTCTATTTCGCAATAATTTGCCATAGTTACATCCTTAGAATGATCGATATATCTTTGATTTCGATATCATGCTGCTTTGTCGTCTTCTTTATTCTTACAACTGCCTTTGGATTACGTTCATTCAACATTTTACCACTTTTAGTCGGAATTGTTGCAGGATTGATTGCATTCTTGCAAAATTACTACAAGAATGCTTCTGTTTACCTGTTTATTTCTATCGGATTCTATTCATTACTTGCGATTCCAGTAATTGTTTCAAGCTGCATCGCTCTTCGCTCCGAAAAATCATACTTCCACAAATTGTATATGTATCTCTTCTCAAACCTCGTTACTCTTGTTTGTTTTGTAGTTATTCAAACTTTGTACTTTTGCCCAGCAGTTTCTTCAACTCCTGTCGCTGCATCCCTCAATATTGTGCTATACTTCACATATTCTATCATGATGACATACTTCCACTGGCCATTTGAATCAGATATCGATCTTGAGTATCTTGAACCTGGAAAGGGCGACCAAGAAGGTTTCCAAGCTGATATTGATGATATGCCAAATGAGATTAAGGCCGAAGGCAGTGATGTTCTCGACACAAACACTTAATTTTTTTTTATTTTTATGATTTTTTTTATATATTTTAAAAGCTTCTTATAAATTATAATTATACATTTTTTTAACGATCTACTCTTGATCAAGATGACTGGAATGTTAAAAAAAATTTAAATTTAATCAAGGCTCTAAATTTTCTTTATTCATTGGAACAGATTTGCTTTCATTCAAGGTAAATTTACTAATATATTATGCTACAATAATAATTAAATTTTTGTTTAGATGATGAAATATTAGCATCCAAACTCTCTCATAGGTTTTGATTTCTCATATAATTGAGAATATATGCAGATGGACTCTTAAATTAAATTAAATTAAAAAAAGTGAGAAATACATCAATATAAAATATATTTATATAATCAATTGTTTATTTTATTATAATTTATTATTACTCAGCAACAATTTTGACTTTGGCCAAAATAATAACTACGTAAACAGCTCTTTGCAACTTTGCGTCGAAGAACTGAACAGCCACATTTGTGTAGTCGCCCTTGAAATTGTCCTTCTTTGCGTTGATATTTCTGAGGAGTGTCTGGACGTAGTCGTTGTCGTTCATTGTCAGTGTCTCCTTGAATCCGACCACGTCAGAGTAGTGCATCAGGACCTCCTCTGAAGGTTCGTATTTCAAGTATGGTGCCTGGTTCTGTGCGAATTCGCCGACAAAATTGTAAGCGTCCTTCTGAAGGATTTCGTCACTCTTCTCGAGAACAGGAAGACCGGCATCCTCACGAATCTTGTTGATTTGGTCGATGAGAGCTGTAACTCTGCCTTGTTTAATAATCTGTTGTTTCTTGAAGAAAGTGAGGGTAGCTCCGGACTTCTGCATCTTGGAACTGTTGAGTGGGGCATCGCTCCAAACCTTTGGAGGTGGAAGATTTGTATCAAAACCACAAAATGTAATAATTGAGCCAATCTTCTGATTTGGATTGTATTGGAAGCTAACAGCGATGCAGTTCATTGGGTCTTTGAATGTCGAGCCAATGTAATTTATTGAGAAATAGTTCTTTGCGTAGGTTTCATCGATTTTTGCGGGATCAAGGATATCAAGGATGCCAATTGTACGACGTGGGAATGGCTTGATGATATCAAGAAGGTTTGAGCGGCTTAATGGCTTCATATTGGCATAAGCCTCCTGATGATACTTAGACATGATGTTGTAGGCTCTCTGATGGTACCTGAGAGATTCCTTTCCGTTTTTCTCTAAGAAATCGTTGATAAGATAGACGCAAAGATTCTCAATGGACCTTTCCTTTGGGCGACCATCTTCGTATCTTTCAATTGAAGGCTTTTGACTCTCATTTGAAGCCTTATATGCAGAAAACTTGTTATGGTTCTTACCTTTCTTCTGATTAGGATTTGCATTTTGTTGTGGTTGTGGTTTTGACTCATCATTATGATCACGACGAATAACGCAGGCGAAAAATATTCTGCCTGTCTTAAAGGCCTTTATTACAACACCAATGAGCTTGTACTCTGGCTTGATAGCAAAATCGTAAAATGGCGAATTCTTTACAGTGTTTTGAACAGCTTCACTGACATTTGGTTCGCTGTTTTGGAAGTTTCCGGCATAAACAACTTCTTTAGAATCTACTGTGAGCTTGAGCTCTTGGGATTTATCAATTGTTTTGTATAACTTGTTGACTTCTTCTTGGCATTGATTATCAACATGACATTGCTTTTTGGTGCCGCGGATTCCATCAAGAAAATAGATGAATTTCTGTTCAGCTCGTGTAATGGTCACTGACATATCTCTCTACAAAAAAGTGAGATAATTTTTTTTGGTTGGATTTCCCATTTTTCGGGTCTTTAAAAATACAATTTGTAAGTTATAAATGAAATAAAAATTAATATTTTCATAATATTTTCTTTCTTATTTGAATGTGAGACTAATGGAATGCTAATCGAGTCGTGATAAGTTATAATGTTAGATATATTACATGCCAATTCCAATTGTGCTTAATATTTCTTCTAGTCAAATCTTGACATTTCATTTTACGTAAGGGCGCGTAAAGGGTTGGCGTCCTAAGGCGTCCTGATGTAAACTATTCAATCTTTGAGAAGTTTACACCATAATTGAATAGTTTATGGCGTCCTGAGAGGAGATTTCAATGGGTATGGCGTCCTAAAAAATAGAAGAAAATGATTTTTTCTCGATTTTTCTAGAAATTGAATTTTTTAAAAAAGAAAAAAATCAAAACGTATACATTCAAGAAAGACTATAAATGAAGATTTTCCTATTTTTTTTCATTCTAAAACATCTTTTTTTTTGATAATTTTTTTTTAATAAATATGTAAGAAAGATTGAAGAAAAAGTAAATTTACTTTAAGAAAATTCGTTTTACATGATGTAAGACCCATAACAACTATAAATATTCAATTATTTAAAATAAAAAAAGAAAAACAGATTAAATGTATCTCACATCAAAATCCATTGACCTAAGGATGTTAAGTTTCTGTTTTTAAAAGTTGATATTTTTTTTTTAATTTTAAGAAAATTAATAGCATGTTATTAGACAATAGGAGTGTAATGATATTGACTAAACAGAAATGAGAGAATAGAGATATAATTTTGATAAGCAATATTGCGAACAAATTCTGAAGTAAAATCGCGATCAATAATTGAAAATTACGATCATGTACTGAAAAATGACGATCGAATTGAATGAATAGAATTATATCTAAGAAAAAATAAATTGTATTTAGAAGATGAACAAAGAAAGGTGTATGCTAAAAATCATTTAACAATAAATGGAAATAAAACGAAATTGTTAAAAGAAAAAAATGAAAATTGTTAAATAATATATTATTTTTTAGTCATAAGAATAAAAATATAGTAGTTATAAAAGGAATTAGACTTCATATATCAATACTTTTTCTCTGTAGATGTGGAACGTTTGCTTTTCGATCTCTTTCGATGAACTTGAAAATATAAGTTATTATCGCTGAGAATCCTTTCCGAAATAGGAGCTCTACGTTTAGGAGGATTGTCGGATGAATTTTGTTTTTTATTGTTTGATTTTGTTGTTATGGAAGATTTTTTCTTATTTTTTTCAGAATTTTGCTTGCTATTAACTGAAACTTGTTTTGACGGCCCAACAATAGCATTTGTAGTAGGAAGAATTCCCAATAACGAGCGCATTTTCGATAATTGTTTTTCAATATGATCAAGAAGGTCCAGCTTATGTTCTAGATTACTAGACATTTGATTTGTAGAAAGATGGTTTTGATTTTCTGGTTCTAAATCTGTAGAGTCTGCAATATTTGAATTTTCGGAGCGAATTGGAGCATCTGAACCTTGATTTGTATCGGCTTGCTCAAAATTAGTTTGAATTGGAGTGGATGAATTAAAATCTGGATGATTTAATGTTTTCTCGTAAACGAAAAGGGGGATTTGACGGAGTCAAATCCCCGCTCACAAAAAGTGTACTTTACATGTCAAATTTTAAATGCATGTAAGGTCCACTTTTATGAGTTTTAGGAAGGAATTGGAGGCCATGAGTTACTGACATTTCATCAGTATCTCATAGCCTCCAATTCCTTCTTAAAATGGGAGAAACTTTGTCCGAATGTTAAACTATTCGGACAAAGTTTCTCCCATTTTAAGAAGGAATTGGAGGCTATGAGATATACCATATGAATGTATATCTCTTACCATCCAATTCCTTCTAGAAAGTGTCCAAACTTTGGGTTAATTGCAAACTATTAACCCAAAGTTTGGACACTTTCAAGTGGAGATGGAAGGCTTTGGGGTATATATTAATACAATATACCTCAAAGCCTTCCATCTCCACTACAAATGGGAGAAACTTTGTCCGAATAGTTTAACATTCGGACAAAGTTTCTCCCATATTTCAATGTAATTGCTACCTGTGAGGTACTGATTTGAAGTCAGTGCTTCACAGGTAGCAATATTCACAAAATTTAAAAACCTAGGTACTGAACCAGAATCAGTGCCTAGGGGACTCTAGAGTTAGTATACATATCAAGGGTACGGAGGCACTGCGTTCCACCGTACCCATTATATGTGAATTTGACACTTTACAAAACCGTTAACGTATATTTTACAACACAAACGACAACACTAACTTAACCTTAAATATTTACAAAGCCACCAACTACTTCACCTCACTAATGTAAAAAAAATAAACGTTCTCACTTACAAAGGTATTGCAACTCCTCCCATTGCTGTGCTTCATATAACAGCTCATAATCTTCTGACTCACTTTCTTCTTCATATAGGTCAAAATCACTGTCATAGTTTATACCTGTAAGTTTTGACAAAGCTAATGAAACACGCTTACCGTTTGTATCATATGCTTGTATAAACTTTCCATTATGCTTGTAGTCATAAACGCTCAAACTAACTTTACCCTTTCTCCCTCGTATCTGATAGAATGTATTTTCACGAGGAACGAAGAACAAATTCTTGAACTCATGACCGTTGTAGTTTGTTATCTCAATAGTTTTCGTCATTTATATAAAAATAAAATAAAAAATAAACTTAAAAATAAATGATATCACCACCCTCACACGTATGAAAACATAGCACAAAAATAAATTTAGGTGAAGTGGTGAGATCTCACCTCTTTTTTCACCTGTTTTTTCACCCTGTTGAATTCATTGCTTTATAACTCTCTTCCTTTCTCCAACTCTTCTAACTTCTTCTTAAGTTCAGCAATGTTGTCCTCATGAAGTTTAATCTTTCTCAAAATTCCTTCTTTATCTAATGGTTGCTTTATCTTTCTAAACTGAACTCTACCATCCTTCATAGTATGAATGTAAAAACCTTCTGGAATAGTTCCTGATTTAATGTATTCTACCAAAAACTTTTGTTTCATTGCTTCAGTGACTTTATTTGTCATTTCAATCAAAGGTGAAGCTAGCACAGCGATAATGGATTTCATGACTTTTTAGTATTTCATGCAATCTTAACAGATAGCCTTACAAGTACTTCCAGTGTCCCTAGCTGTCCCTCCTTTTTATATAACTCCATGACATTTATAATCTCGCGAAACTTAACAGGTAGCATAACAGATTAAAATCAGATGAGGTTTTGAACCAAAATTTCTAAGCAACGTTGTCAAGGATTTTGAGGAACTAGGGACAGAGTGTGGCAAAGTCCAAGATTTAATTTATCTTCATCTGTTTCATCAGCTATCTCATCTAATATGCCAATATTTTATTCATAACTCGTGGCAAACCCACTAACTTTTATTATGTTCATCTGCATGCTTCATCGTAAATGTTTTGTCAAACTGCATCGAAACTATACGTAAATGCTTTGTATAAACTTCTTCGTAAATGCTTTGTATAAACTTCTTCGTAAACACTTTGTCAAGACTTCATCGTAAATGTTTTGTCAAGATTTCATCGTAAATGTTTTGTCAAAACTTCATCGTAAACTAAACGTAAATGCTTTGTCATGATTTCATCGTAAATGTTTTGTCAAGACTTCATCGTAAATGTTTTGTCAAGATTTCATCGTAAATGTTTTGTCATGATTTCATCGTAAATGTTTTGTCATGATTTTGTCAAGACTTCATCGTAAATGTTTTGTCAAGGTTTCATCGTATATGTTTTGTCATGATTTCTTCGTAAATGATTTGTCAAGACTTCATCGTAAATGTTTTGTCATGATTTTGTCAAGACTTCATCGTAAATGTTTTGCCATGATTTCATCGTAAATGTTTTGTCATGATTTTGTCATGATTTCATCGTAAACACTTTGTCGAAACTTCTTCGTATATTTTTTGTCATAACTTCTTCGTATATGTTTTGTCATGACTTCTTCGTAAATGATTTGTCATGACTTCTTCGTAAATGCTTTGTCATGACTTCTTCGTAAATGATTTGTCATGACTTCTTCGTAAATGATTTGTCATGATTTCATCGTAAATGATTTGTCAAGATTTCATCGTAAATGTTTTGTCATGACTTCATCGTAAATGTTTTGTCAAAACTTCATCGTATATGTTTTGTCATGACTTCATCGTATATGTTTTGTCATGACTTCATCGTATATGTTTTGTCATGACTTCATCGTATATGTTTTGTCATGACTTCATCGTATATGTTTTGTCATGACTTCATCGTATATGTTTTGTCATGACTTCATCGTATATGTTTTGTCATGACTTCTTCGTAAATGATTTGTCAAGACTTCATCGTAAATGTTTTGTCAAGATTTCATCGTAAATGTTTTGTCATGACTTCATCGTAAATGTTTTGTCAAAACTTCATCGTAAATGTTTTGTCATAACTTCTTCGTAAATGATTTGTCAAGACTTCATCGTAAATGTTTTGTCAAGATTTCATCGTAAATGTTTTGTCATGACTTCATCGTAAATGTTTTGTCAAAACTTCATCGTAAATGTTTTGTCATAACTTCTTCGTAAATGATTTGTCAAGACTTCATCGTAAATGATTTGTCAAGACTTCATCGTAAATGTTTTGTCATGACTTCATCGTAAATGTTTTGTCAAAACTTCATCGTAAATGTTTTGTCATAACTTCTTCGTAAATGTTTTGTCAAGACTTCATCGTAAACACTTTGTCAAAACTTCATCGTAAACACTTTGTCATGATTTCATCGTATATGTTTTGTCATGATTTCTTCGTAAATGTTTTGTCATGATTTCTTCGTAAATGTTTTGTCATGACTTCATCGTAAATGTTTTGTCAAGACTTCTTCGTAAACACTTTGTCATGATTTCATCGTATATGTTTTGTCATGATTTCATCGTAAACACTTTGTCAAAACTTCATCGTATATGTTTTGTCAAAACTTCTTCGTAAATGCTTCATCGAACTTAAACGTAAACACTTTGTCAAGGTTTCATCGTAAATGTTTTGTCATGACTTCATCGTATATGTTTTGTTATGATTTCATCGTATATGTTTTGTCATGACTTCATCGTATATGTTTTGTCATGATTTCATCGTAAATGATTTGTCATGATTTCATCGTAAATGATTTGTCAAGATTTCATCGTAAATGCTTCATCGAACTTAAACGTAAACACTTTGTCAAGGTTTCATCGTAAATGTTTTGTCATGACTTCATCGTATATGTTTTGTTATGATTTCATCGTATATGTTTTGTCATGATTTCATCGTAAATGCTTTGTTATGACTTCATCGTAAATGCTTTGTCATGACTTCATCGTAAATGCTTTGTCATGACTTCTTCGTATATGTTTTGTCATGATTTCTTCGTAAATGTTTTGTCATGATTTCTTCGTAAATGTTTTGTTATGACTTCATCGAACTTAAACGTAAATGTTTTCAGTGTCACCACGTCACCATGTCACCAGGTTATTTAACTTCTTTTAAAAATGATGACAACATGACATTTTGACAACAGCATGGGTTGAATGCAAAAATATTTTTAGGAGAGAATGCAGCATTTATGAATTATTTTTGAAGAACTGAAGGTGTTACCATGTTACCATGTGCTACCAGGTTATTTAACTTCTTTTAAAAATGATGACAACATGACATTTTGACAACAGCATGGGTTGAATGCAAAAATATTTTTAGGAGAGAATGCAGCATTTATGAATTATTTTTGAAGAACTGAAGGTGTTACCATGTTACCATGTGCTACCAGGTTATTTAACTTCTTTTAAAAATGATGACAACATGACATTTTGACAACAGCATGGGTTGAATGCAAAAATATTTTTAGGAGAGAATGCAGCATTTATGAATTATTTTTGAAGAACTGAAGGTGTCACCAGGTCACCAGGTCACCAGGTTAATTAACTTCTCTGAAAAAATGAGACAACATGACATTTTGACAACACAGCAGGATTAATGCAAAAATAAATTCCAATCATACTTTATAAAGCTTCATTTACAGGTATTTCATCGTCAGTAAATGAATCCTCATTATCGTTTGGTTCAACCTGTTTATATAATCCTTTCATTTCTTCTTTCAAAACATAACACCATGTTTGTTTACCATCTATTTTTCATTGTTTCCTTTCACATTTATCCTTAATACTCATTTGGAAATTCTTGTCTTTCATGTCTGATGGTTTGCAGAATAGAGCATTTTTACACGTCATACCTACACACAATTCATCATAATGTGTATTTATCCATACATCTAAAGGATTTGTTGATAATTCAATTAAATCTTGTTTGGCTTCAGTCATCGGTATGATTCGTACGTTAAATGATGAAAGGTCATATTGCATAAAATATGTTAAAAGGTTATCATAAAATTCCTTTGTGCATGAATTCATCAAATTCTTGAAATAATCAAATTGACCCTTGAATTTACCATTAACTCTTAAAACTACGTATCTTCTGTCTCCAACTTCAATTTTGACAGGGTAGACGTTATTAGTTACGAAAATGAAATTAGCAACATTCTGGGCAGTTCTTCTGGGTTGATTCTTTTCATTAATTCTAATCTCATTATCCGTAATAATTGATTTCAAAGCGTTGAAGTTTGCGAGTCTATCTTCACCTACATTCTTGAGTTCATTAAGTACAAGAAACATTTTATTCTCAACTACTGAATTGAAATTACCCGTTAGCTCACTTATTTCGGTAATGTTTTTACATGAATAACCGGCGAGAAGTTCAGAAATAATGTCTGTAAATCTGTTTTTACCTGTTCCCTGAAGTCCTTTCAAAATAATTGCTGTTTCATTCTTGATTCCAGGATGTTGAATCATTGATGCAATCCAGCCGAGAAGGTATTTATACACTTCATCGTTATTATCACAAATGGCTTCTTTAATGAAATTCATAAACATCTCAATTTTTGAGTAATCTGGTTTTTCGAGAATGTTGTATTTATAACCTTGAAACGTTGAGAAAACATCTGGAGAATCAGATTTAAAGCAAACACCCTTAACGGTTAATGAAGACAATTGATTTAGTAGTACATCCCATGCTGTTATGGTTTTACCTTCTTCATTAAATAATTTAATCATTTTAAGTGACTCTTTCATGTTTGATTGAAGAACGAATGATATTTGATTCATTTTGTCGTGGATATTATAGTCCTTTTGAATGAAATATTTATTTCCACAATCTACAAAACGGATTACACGTGATAAATCCTCAATTACTTCAGAACTGTTTTTATACTGATGATTTTCAGCCTTGCGTCTAGTATCTGTTATCAAAAACGAGTCATCAAGTTTGATATCAAATGTTATTTTTGGCTTACGTAATAAAGGTAAAACATATTCATCATAATATTCCTTTTGATAAAGTTTTAGAATCTTCACTAAAACAAATGGAGAAGTCATTAAATGTGCATATCTACTACGCGCTTTTTCAAAATTACTTTTTGCATTTTCAGTTAAATTGCAGAAGTTATAAACGTTATCGTATGCTTCATTAATTAAATGATTAGGTAACGAATTAATTGCTTGAAACAGTGTGAATAATGTAACTTCTTTTTCTAAATTCATGTTTCCACCGTCATTATGTACTTCAAAATCACTGATGCCATCAACTATGCTTTGAGCTAGTTTATCGTCAACGTTTACATCTTTGTTTTCATTCATGATAGTCTTTATTTCTTCATTCTTCTGTTCAACTCTTACCTTAATATTCAAATCATTTAATATATCGTTTACTGTTCTAGTTAATGTTGAATCGTAACTTCCACGAATGAATGAGTATGTTTTGATTGGTTCTGTTGCATTCTTGCGAACTCTTGAATCAGCCATAACTACTAAAGAACGCTTTGAATCATCCATAGAAGTCATTATGTCAATATCATAATCATTGCAAGAATAACATTTAATCATTCTGTTCGAAACTGAATAGAAGAAATTAGTGTTGCAATAAATGTGAAGACCTCCTGAAGCGGTTTTAACGATAACATCTTTATCCGAAAGTTTTGATAAAATATCTTTTCTAACTGTTTCTTTAAGTTCATTATTGTACGATTTATTGATATCAACATCTATAATCGTTAAATTTGAAATTTTATTTACTAATAAAGCCATACCAGTTTTCCTTCCTCTTCCTCCATCGTGTTTGAGGTAGTTATGTAAATCAATCTTGTTTTCACCAATTCTTTCGTTGAGGGTTTTAGTTTCTATCACAACTAATTCCTCAGCTAATGAATCAATAACTTTTTCATCAGAAACGATATAGTTGCTGTTGTTGTTTGTTGCTGTCATTTATATAGGAATAAAAAAATAAAAATAATTTTAAAACTAACTTTATTTTTGGACTGCATCAAATTTCCTGGACTGTTGTCAAAATGTCATGTTGTCTCATTTTTTCAGAGAAGTTAATTAACCTGGTGACCTGGTGACACTGAAAACATTAACGAAACATTAATTTCCTGGACTGTTGTCAAAATGTCATGTTGTCATCATTTTTAAGAGGAGTTAATTAACCTGGTAGCACATGGTAACATGGTAACACCTTCATAATTTATGAAAACATTAACGTAAACATTTACGAAACATTAACGTAAACATTAACGTAAACATTTACGAAACATTAACGTAAACATTTACGAAACATTAACGTAAACATTAATTTCCTGGACTGTTGTCAAAATGTCATGTTGTCATCATTTTTAAGAGGAGTTAATTAACCTGGTAGCACATGGTAACATGGTAACACCTTCATAATTTATGAAAACATTAACGTAAACATTTACGAAACATTAACGTAAACATTAACGTAAACATTTACGAAACATTAACGTAAACATTAACGTAAACATTTACGAAACATTAACGTAAACATTAACGTAAACATTAACGAAACATTTACGAAACATTAACGTAAACAGACAAGGATGGTTACATTAATGCAACAAAGATGTGTCAGCAGTTTAGGAAAGACTTTAGAAAGTTGTTGGAAAATAAGTCCTGGGAAGAGTATTATAAGGCATTTTGTGAAGAATATAGCAACCGCCGGAATTCAGACAGTTGCTTTTTATACAAAATTCATGCAGGAATTCCTGATGAAATCAAACAGGTTAGAGGAACGTATGTAGACCCAAGACTTATAAACTATATAGCAATGTGGGCTTCTCCAAAATATTGCATAGCAGTTGGAAAAATTATGGACTCCATAGACAAGAAAGTTCATGAGAAATTAGATGAAGAAGAACTCGAAGATACAGTAGAGAATTAAGCTTGGGTATAATTATAATTATATCATATTGGGAAACAAAGGATTTAAATCAGATTAAAGTATAAAAATCGAATAAATATTAATTATTAGAGTGTCTGATGTCAAGGAATTTCATTGAGCTTCACGAAGCATACCAGGAATGGTGAATTCTAAAATATTATACAACCGTTTTCCTTTCATATCACATGGCTGTACCCTAATATTTTTTTTCCCCCAGCATATGTAAACTATCTCACTTTTTGTTACATTATACATCTGTATGATTGTTTATTTTTATTGAATTTTCATAGAATGTAAACATTTGAAATTATCTTTTTAACATAAAATAAATTTATTCCTTATCATTGTCGTATTAAAAATTTCCGTCACAATTATAATATTTAATTAAGGAAAAAAAAAAAAAAAAAAAAAAAAAAAGGTAATGGGGCTTCCAGGCACTTCGTGCCCTCTAGCCCCGAAGAAATTTTTGAGAGTCGTCACTTTTCTGTCACTTTTCAGGGTAAAAACATTTTTATTATTATATATAAATGAATTTTACAAAACCACCGTTACCGTTCTTTGGAAATAAGAGTAAATGTAAAGATATTATATTGAGAGAACTTAAGAAACTACCGAATGGTCTAACATTTGTAGATTTGTTCGGTGGAAGTTTCTATATATCCCATCTGTGCCATACAATATTTCCAGACTCAAAGATTATATGCAATGACTTCGACAACTATATGGACCGTCTCAAACATATACCAGACACAAACAATATATTGAAAGAGTTAAAAGAAAAGATACCTATAGGTAAGATGGAACGTATACCATTAGATAAGAAAAATATTGTGAGAGAGGTTTTGAAAAAAGCAGAATATATAGACTGGGATAGTATATCTGCTAGACTATTATATAGTGGTGCTATAAGAGTTCATGACATTGAAACACTTATGTCAAAAGTTTTATATCTTAACTATACAAATGTTTTCAAAGAGGACATAGAAAAAATATATTGAGGGTATAGAGTTTTGTGAGATGTCATTGGACAGAGTTGTATGAAAAATATAAAGACAAGGAAAATGTTTTCTTTATAGTGGACCCGCCGTTCTATAACACATGGGATTTTCAATACCAAGTAGACTGGACTTTGAGAGACTCTTTAGAAACTTTAGACGTTTTACATAACCATCCATGCTTTTACTTTACATCCGATAAAAGTGGTTTGGAAAGTGTTATGAGATGGTTAGAGGACATACATGACTATGATTTTAGATACGATAAGATAGAATATGAGAGAGGTCCTATAAACTGGAGAAAGTGTCATAACAAAGAAATTTTACTAGTAAGTAAATGTGGTTTGAATAGGACTACTTGTTTTAGGTTTTTTCCATTGTGTCATTTACTTATTTGACGTGGCAGAAAAGTACAGAGAATATGAAGATGAACCAATGCCTGCAAATGTCCAGTATATGTACTCGTAAGAGATATTTTTATCTAATATTAAATGGACGCACAGAACTTAGCGAATGCACAGCAACCTGGACAACCAAACCCAGAGAATATTCCAAATGAAGTTAGAATACAAACTGCAATGGCAAACTATGGTCAAGTGCCAACAGATGTACAAATGCAAACTGCCATGTCAAATGACGCTGCGTTAGGTTTGCCACCATGGTATGCAAATATGAGATGGAAAGAGTTTTATACAAACCCTGAAGTGGGATATAAACAACTCTATGCAGATGACGCGAACACAGGAGTTGACCCAGAGTTTTTCTACCAGAGGAGAAATAGAATGTATGAGCTCCAGTTAAAGAATGCTATGGAACTCAACAGGAAACGTAAGAGACTAGGCGGACATTAGATTTTTACATATAGTAAAATGGGTTTCTTCAGTAAGATAGGAAACTTCTTTCGAAATGTTGGAAGAGGTATATGGAATGGAATAAAAACCGTCGGAAGAGGAATTTGGAACGGTGTCAAAATATTGGTAAAAGGGTAGGTCAGTTCGTTGGTATTATACCTAAAGACCCTGAACCAGAAGAGCAAGCTCCTGTTATACAACAGCCTGAACCTGCACCACAGTCTAGTTGGCAACCAAATCCAACACCTCAACCGTATTAAAAAAATCATATTTTTACCGTTCGATAGTAGTTGTATATGAAACTAAGTTCTAAGTAAAACGCGTGGTATAATGGAATTATTCTCTTTCTTCCATCTGTAGTAAACCATACTTGAAAGTCTGAAATACTTCCACTTGTGGTTCGTATAGCTTTGTAGGTTTTTTCGTAAAAGTCATTTGCCAAGCATAAAAAAGAGTTTTGTGCGCCAGAAAATTGAAGCATGAACTATAATAGCATCTGAGTCGAAAACATTTTCATATGTTCCATTAGGGTTTTCGACTTCATAAAAGTTCGGGTGTACTGGATATGCTGCAGGCTGATTTAACATCCTCAAAATCTATACCATGCCAAGTTGTTATATTTTGTAGAAATAATAAACGTCTTCTCCAAGGTCTTCTATTCTATTGATTTTAACAGTTGCATTTTTCCTGTCATATATAATATCGAGATGGTACTCTCCTTCGTCAATGTGTACTGTTTTGCATATTCGAGATAGATATCGTTTATTTTTTCTTGAAAAGCTTGAAGAGTTGTTTCTAAGTTTACAAGCAAACTACTTGTAAAAGTTTTCCCTGTTCAAATTTCTCATACGTACGTTTTTCTTTGTTATAGTATCGAACTTCAAAAGCGACCGTAAATGGGAACCATGTATGGCTCTGAAATGAACTTCATTCTACGAAAGCCAATAGCTTTTGTGACGGATGGTCTCTTAACCATCTTAACGGGTAGTCAAAACGATAGCCTTCATGCTTTACGGTCTCTGTCTCAAACTTTTGACCGACATTCGTAAAAAGTTCATCTAATGGTTTAGTTGTAGCAACTCTTGAATTTTCTTTTTCTATTGAAAGCATATTTTATCTAGAATAAAAATGTCGAAAGAAACAGCGTCTATGAGAGAAATAAAACACAACCGACAACTCATTTTGCAAGCTCTAAATAAGAACACAACAAACTTTTCAAACTATTCTAAGATATCTGAGTCATTGAAAGAAGGAAACTTAAAACTGACATTAAACCCATTGACAGACGAGTTTCTATTTCAAGACAGTAAGAACCATACTGTTTGTATAAATCCAACAAAAAGAACTTTAAACGAGAAACCTATAGATGAACTTCTTTTGAAGGCAGATATTGACAACAAAGCTGACAAAGAGTATGTCATTGAAAAAGTTCAAGAAGAACATGACAGAGCAGATGCAACATATGCAACAAAAGAGGATGTTGAAAAGAAAGCTGACAAAGAGTATGTCATTGAAAAAGTTCAAGAAGAACATGACAGAGCAGATGCAACATATGCAACAAAAGAGGATGTTGAAAAGAAAGCTGACAAAGAGTATGTTGACGATGAGTTAGCATATCTGGCTAGTGGGTTAGTGAAGAAGGCAGATAAGGAATATGTGGATGAAAAAGACAATGAAATTATAAAAAGGGTTGAATGGTACCATGAACGGACATCGAAGATTTTAGAAGGTAAAGCCAATACAGGGTGGGTTTCAGGATGTTTAGACCTTAAAGCTGACAAGAACCATACACATACCATTGCAAATATTACAAACTTACAAGAAACCTTAAACAGGAAAAGTGACGTTGGACATACACACGATTTCTTCGCAACTGTTGGTATAGAAAATATTGAAGGAACGGTTGAAGAGCTGGTGGGGATGTATTAGATTGGAAACCTCCTAACTTTCCACAAGGTTTAACATCGGAAGAAGACATAACAACGATGAGATACATTAGATGTAGAGATGTTTATGTCATGGAGGATGAAAATAAAGTTAAATTCACTGCTCAAGATTTATATGACAAGAAAGCAGACAAAACAGAGCTTCAAACATTAAAGACAGAAATACTTCAAACCATTTACCCAGTTGGTTCTATTTATACGTCAATGAACTCTACCAGACCAGAAGTAGTACTTGGTTTTGGAACTTGGACTCAAATATTCGAAAGTTTTTTGTATTGTGCACACACTCCAAAGAAAACAGGTGGAAGTAAAACGATATCTGTCGACAACTTGCCACCACATAGTCATTCTGGTACAACAAACTTTTCTGGCGACCATAGCCACTCATTAGAGACCATCCATTATACAACTCAGATATGAAGCTGGCTATGACGTTTTATCTCCAGATTATAACCATTCAGCAAAAAAGACTTTTCGACAAACTGAACCAGGAGGAAACCACCAACATACTTTTACAACAACATCTACAGGACTAGGTAAAAAATACATGCCACCTTACATGACAGTTTGTGCATGGTATAGAATTGCTTAGTCGTCATTTTCAACTTCTTTAGCATATTCGTCAGGAGTTGTCTTATATTTGTTAGGAACTGTCTTTGAAAGTATACCACCTTGAACTTGACAAGTTTGAAACGAGGTCTGACAATAGTAGTTTTATCTTCTGCTTGCAGTCTGTACATTTTGCCATGTTTGCCTAAAACTTCATAATATTCTCTTGTATACTTTCTTCTATTTTTACGAACACGAATGTGAGTACCTGTCGAGTTCCCATTGTTGTCATAGTCAATAGTATTTTCATATGGGTCGCGTTTAGGTATTTCTATTTTTACTTTGTCACCTTTCTTAAGTTTGAAGCCTGGCATTCTTTCTTGTTTGTCTCTTTTGACTAAACTATTAAATATATAGTCTTTCTCTAAGTCAGGGTTGTTTTTCATTTCTTCGGGGGAGTGGTTTCCCAAACCTTTTTGTTTACGGCTATTGTAAATATTTAAAACTTGTCTCATCTTTGCCATGGAGAAGTGTCTGTATTTGTCGTCATATGACATTTCATCTACCTCACCACCTTGTGGTTGGTTTAAGTCTCTTAAGATTTTTATACAACTGTCAATGACACCAAGAGCAGAATGGTTTTGGTCGACAATGAAATATTGGTTTACATTTTTTGAACGCAGATAGTTTTTAATATCGTCTGATTTGAAAGAACTTTCACAGTCAGATGTCAGTTTTGTTGGATGGTATTTGTCAACGAATATTGTCAAAGCAGTTTTCACATCTAAAATATTTTTGGACTGTAATGGTATGGCTTCACAGTATCTTGTGTTTTGACCGACAAATATTAGCCAGTATGGTGGTCCATCTTCTCTATACCTCGGAATGTTTTCCAAGATATCCATAAACCAAGCATTTGGTGTTGAACTAAAGATTTTTATCATGAGTGCTTTCTTTGTTGCTTAGAAACATAGGGGTCCTTGTTTGGATTCGTCATTTTTTACCCATAAGAAATGGGTTTATTTGGCGCATTAGCAGGAGTTGCATCCAGATTTTTGCCCGCAGTGGGAACAATAGCCAGAGGTGCATTTGGAATTGGAAGGAAGATTTTGAGTACATTAGGTATACTGAAAGAGAAAGCACAACCTATTATACAAACTGTACAGAAAGGTTGGGAGGTAGCACGAGATGCAGCAAATCTTATTCCAAATCCTGAAACAAGAGGAAAAGTTCAAGGATGGATGGACAATGTAGGAAGACAAGCAGGAAACTACTATAACAAAGCAAATGACTACTATAACCAAGCAGGGCACTATATGGACCAAGGTGAAAGATTCTTTAACAGAGGATATAACCATGCACAACAGTGGGTAAACAACAACCAACCGCAACCGCCTCAAACGTGGGGAATGTAAATTTTTTACTGAGATGAAATGAACAATACAGCATTGAGACAAATGGGTCAAGATGGATTTGTCGACTTCCAGCAGTTACACAACCACGTGTTTGTCAAGTTCTTCCTATACCTCAGGAAGTTTTAGACCGACTTAAAAAACCTAAACAACCAGTTGAAAACAAACCAAACTAAAATTTTTTACTGAGATGAAATGACCGAAGAAGTTGAAACGGTAGATTTGACACCACAAACAAAAAGTTCAGAACCATTGTCAAAACCTGTCAAAGAACTTACAGATGAAGAGAAAAATTCAATAATAGAAAGTGCCAGGTCTGGAAATACAAACCCTAACTACAAAGTCACTTTTCATAGAAATGGAACGGCTAGTATCTCAAAAAAGAAACAGACTCTCACAAATAAAATATTGAAGTCTGAAGGAGCTTTCGAGACAACAGATGGAAAAGTTTACTTCACTGACCAACAGTTCATTATAGAACATCTCATTGACTTAGAGTCGAAATATTCTAAACTTTACAACAAACACAAAAAGTTGAAAGGAAAACAAAAACAAATGGCATATGATATTTATGAAGATGTTGACGACACAACATACCTGCAAGTGAGGTAAAGTCAGAGGAACCGAAAAGTGACGAAAAACCGATAGAAGAAGGGAGCCAAAAACTGAAGATAAACCAAAACCAAAGGTTAGTTTCCAAACTAAACCAAGTCAACCTTCATTAGCTGGTATGGGTTGGCGTCAAAGACTTATGGCAGCAGGCGGTTATGTAAAGTAAAGAAAAAAATATTTTTTTATTTTTATAAAAATGCCCCCATATAGAATGGATAGAAGGTCTGCTAGAATAAAAGCAGAGTTAGAAAGATATGGTTGGAAAGTTTCAAAGAAGTTTAAATATAGGAAGGGAAGACCCATAAAAGTCTATGACAAACTGCTGGTCTCCTATGAAATGGACTTGGAAACAGCACGCGCAAATTATCCAAACAGACTAGAGAGGTTAGAAGAAGAACGTCTTATGGACATGCCTTTCGATGTTTCTGAGCCTCAAGTTGAAGGACACGACGGCTTTGCCAGATTCTACTGGAAACATGACGAACAATTGCATCCTTTGAGAAGGAAAAAAGGAAAAGGTGAAGACAAACATGCTCCCATGGAAAGAACAAGATATGCATATGAAAGTATCGTGAAGTTAGAAGTCAAATTACATCTGGTCGAACCTTTACAGTAAACTTTGACGAAGGAAAGAACAAAGAAGGCTTCATGGGTGTACTTGCTGCATTCAAGACGGAAATAAGAAAGGATACAATCTCAGACTAACCGTAACAGATTTGGACGGTCACATTTACTATGCACATGGCAATGTCACAACAGCGCACAACTTCTTGACGCTTTCAAGACTACAAAGAGAGAACAAATGGTTGACTCCGACTCAGACATTTTGAATGCAATTGAAGGAATTGCAAGTGTAAGTTCGAATGGTACCAACCTAACCCTCAAGCAGTCAGACAACATGCTGGATACTTCCCGTTCATAAATAAGTCTGACATTGACTTGACAAGGTATGGAATTTACAATTCAATTGAAACAATTGTCAATGAACCTTGTATTCTTACATGTCTCAGGAACTCTGGTCTTGTTACAGATGAGAAGATGAAGTATCTTGAGTCATGTGTGAAGACAAGGTACATTCTCAGAGGTCAATTGGCAAAAATTGCACCGTTGGCAAATGTCAATATCCGAGTCAACATACCGACTGAGAAAGGTTCTTCACATGACGACTATGTTGTTGACAAAGACTTACCATGGTTGAAGATTGTAATTGTCCACAACCACTTCATGTTGAACGAAAGTCTTACAAACCCATTGTTCGGAAAAGGCAAGTGCAACATTGTCAGAGCTGTTAACATTCTTTTCGAGAAAGGTTTGTTGGAACCAATTCCAGATGACAAGCTGACAGAAACTTTTGTACCAAAAGACGAAACAAACTTTTCATTGTTAGCAAGACCAAAAGTTGTTCCAGACAAAGTTATAGCACAAAAGAAGTACACTGTTCCAAAAGGAGTTGGATTGTTCGGATACCAACCTGAACCAGAAGAACTTCCAATGAGGTTGCAAGAACTTCAAGATGCTATAAACAAACTTCCATTGAGACATCCAATTGACGTCAAATTGTATTGGAGAGCATCTGAGTTAGGTCAGAAGGTTTTATATGAAACAGGTTGCTTCGACGATGTTTATGAGATAACAGGAGAAGTTTCTCAGAAGATAAGAGACTCACTTGAATTTCCACGAACTGGACCCATTGGTTGCGACAAGTTCGACTCAGATGAAAAGATATACTATGTCGACCTTAACGCTGCGTACATGAGGTTCGTCCAATATATCCCGACTGGAATTCCAAACGAAGATGGTGAGTTCCCAGGAAGGAACTATACAGTTGGAAAAGTCATACAACAACTGTATGATATTAGGAAAGCTTCAAACCCCAAACTTGCAATGACACTCAAATTGCTTATGAATTCGACATGGGGATATTCCATTAAGAAACCTCAAGAGATGAAGAGTAAACACTATGAGAAGGTCGACAACTTTGTTGAAAGGTTCTCCTTTTGTTTTGAAGTACGAATTCACTCAAGGTCAAAGTGGCTTAGTAACCACATTAAAACCTATTGTCGAACATTGGTCTTACCCTCAGTTCGCAAAGGCAGTCCTTGACAACTACAACAAATTCTTCTCCGAAGTCAAATCCAAAGTGAAGGTTTACTATGAGAACATTGACGCACTCATGACGAACGAAGAAGGATACAACAAACTCATTGAAATGGGAATGGTCGGTGAAAAGATGGGTCAATTCAAATTGGACAAAATTTTCACCGAAGTTCATGTCCTCTCCAAGCGTAAGTACTGGGGCATACTTGAAGACGGCACAGAAATAAAACATTGCATGAATAAAAAATTTTTATTCGAATTTGAATCGGACAGGTCGAGTTACACCATTCTTGGTCTCAAACTCATATATAACCTGTTTGTCTGTATTTTCGTCGACTATGGCACGAGACACGAACATTGACCAAACGGACAAAAAGTGTCATTTCAGATGGTCCCGCAGCCAATCGCATTCGAGCACTTCGAAGAAGCCTTACGTTCCAAGGGAGAGGGTGTCTGGTGCAAGGCAGAGGTCATGAGACTCTACGAGCAGTACATCCTCAATGCCTGGGAGGACAAATCGTCCTTGGATTGGCAATTCTACCAACTCCTCTGGGACGACCTCCTACGCAACTGGGATGACGAAAGAGTCCAATTCAGAGGTCAGGAACTACTTGTCCAAATTATCCTTAATTTAAGCCGCTTACGCAACTAAAACACCTAAATTTACTGGGGTTTCCCCCTAAAATAAAATTTTTTTACTCTTAGAACCACTCGAGGTTCTCCTTACGGTTGTTGAGCTTGTCACCGTCAATGTGTCTGACCTCGTCTTCTTGTCTGGATTTGGAACCCATTGAATTGCGACAAGCTTGCCCATGGAAATTGAACCGTAATTCCGAAGGGTAAGGTTCAAGTGTCCCAAGTTGTTGAGGACTGGGGTAAGAACCTTGCCTGTCTCCTTGTTGCGGATTTGGTATGGGTAGGGTTGGGAAATTTCGTAAGTGTCATCGGCAACAAGGGTTGCCCAAACTTCCTCTTCTTCGTGTTTCTCTTCTTCCTCTTCTTCCTCTTCCTCTTCTTCGTGTTTCTCTTCTTCCTCGACAATTCCTTCTTCAATTCTGTGTTCACGAAGTACGGTGTTGCATGTTCTGTCCTTTCCGAGTACCTTCCAGATGGCGTCTATCTCTTCGAAGAAACGGTAGATGAGTCTGGCAAGGTCTCGGTTCTCTCTCGCGTAAATGCGCAAGGTTTCCGTCAAATCATTCAGGCATTTCTCATTGGAAGCTTGGTTCATGAGGACATCGGCTTTGAGCTTGGTCATCTCTTCCATAAGACTACTTTGGAGAGTCTTAACGGTGTTTGTCAGATGAGCTTTCAAATTCAAAATTTGAATTTGAACTGGGCGCTTGTCTGGCAACTTGAAAGGACATCTGCCATTGAGTTTGGCTTCGGTGCTTGTTCGGACATCGAAAAAATGAAGTGGTTTGAGAATGACGGTTTTACTTCAAAAAGCTTGTTATGAGTTATGTCATACAACAAGTTTAAAATAATATCTTGTTCTTCTTCTGAACGTTTGTTGTCTCTTCCGATAAAAGTTTCGAACATGAGAACCAAAAAACGTTTTTTGAGATTGCGGAAGAGTTCAGGCAAACGTTCATATTCTGGATATGTTGGGAGCAGTTCAAAACATCTGAGCTGACTTTCGGACAAAATTGGGACAATGTCAGAAAATTCATCTTTGGTCGGACTGCTTGAAGGTAAGTCCCTTACATGTAAGTAGCTCTGGTAAAGTCTTCTCATTTCTGCTAACTTTTGGAGTATAGCTTCGTAGTTTAGAAGTTTTAATTTTAATTGTCTTATTCCACTCTTTACTTCTAAACGGTAACTATCCATGAGGTCAAGAGTAGCTTTGGTAGCTTTAAGTGGAGCTATCTGTTCCTTGACTCCTGCAATTTTGGTTGCAATTGTGGTTTGAGCTCCTTCAAGTTCGCCGTCTATGTCGTTCTCAACGCCTTCAACCATGGCTTGAAACTCTTCATCGGTCCATTGAGATTGGTGTGGGACGAATTTAACTTGCTTCATTCAAAAAATGAAAAAAATGTTTTTACTCAAAGCGTGCCATGTATATGGCTATAAGAAACTTACCAGAAGGCTTCTTCTTCACATGAGTCTTTGGCAACTTGAGTGTTGGTGTTGGAGTTGGGTCTGGAATTTCAATTCTCTCTCGAGCGCAACAACAGATGTCAGAATAACATTCCCCACTGTCTTTCTTGCCACCATAAATTGTGTATTGACCGAACTTGCATTTGCAGGAAGACCGGTCAATACAAGGTTCACAGTTGAAATAGTTGTACACAAACCTGTTGAGTACGAGTGTGAGTAAAAACATAAAAAAAAGTGAAGTTAAAATGAGATGTTTACTGAACTGGCTGAAGAATTGGTTGGATGTCGCCTTCTGAGGTTATGAAGAACGGCTGTCCAGAGTAGTGAAGTAGTGCTCTGAGAATTTGTGTAATTCGTGGAATTGGGCTCTCACGATATGGAAGTAGTATCCAAGGACGTTTCATGAAGAACTTCAAGAGGGCTTCTTTCTTCACATCCTTAATATCATCGAATGCAGTGCCTTCTGGAACTTGAATTGCAACACCTGTTTCAATTTCCAACTTTAAGACACTATTCTTGGACAACCAGAAGCCAATGGACTTGCTTGGTTTGCACTTGCTGAGATATTCCTTCACGGTTTCATTTACCTCAATTAGATAAATTGCTTCGTCTAAGGGGTCAAGCTCCATACTGAGTCAGTACAATATTGTACTTTTTCAAGACAATGTTGTACTTTTTCAAGACAATGTTGTACTTTTTCAAGACAATATTGTACTTTTTCAGAACAATGTTGTACTTTTTCAGAACAATGTTGTATAAATTCAGTACAATGTCTCTCAAATTTGAGTACAGCTGTACTTTTTCAGAACAAGTCTTGAACTTTTTCAGAACAATGTTGTACTTTTTCAAGACAATGTTGTACTTTTTCAAGACAATGTTGTACTTTTTCAAGACAATGTTGTACTTTTTCAAGACAATGTTGTACTTTTTCAAGACAATGTTGTACTTTTTCAAGACAATATTATATTGTTTCAGAACAAAGACGGTTAAGACACAAACGAATGTCCGACGTCCCACCTACTGAACCCGTTCCACAGCCAGAGGAACAGCATGCTCCAGCACCACAACAGTCTCCTCAGCAACCTCAGTTCCAACAAGGACCTCCGAATTACTACCAATTTCCACCTCAAGGTTACTACCCACCACAAGGCTTTCCAAACTACCCACCACAAGGCTTTCCAAACTACCCTCCTCAACCCATGCCTTACTTCCCTAACCCTTGGATGTTCATGTCAAACCCTCCACCCCAATTCCAATCTCAATCCCAATCGAAGAGAGACCAAGAGTTCGAAGAAGGTCTGAACCGTTTACGCAAAGAGTATGCCACAGCCCCTATGGAAGATGACAGGCTTTCAGTCTCTTCCCTAAGGTCGACCAATTCGACTCGTACCACAGATTCGGTTCGTGACCGTGAAGACTACCTCAAGCAGTCTGAGAGACTCTTCATCTTACAGCCATTTACAGTTGGAGCTCTCAAGAACATGCGCAATTACGAAGGTCAGACACCAGCTGGAGACCGCAAAACAGACGTACTCGCAAGAGCAGTCCAACTGGTCAAGACAAAGACTGAGATAGTCGACTTCATTCTTGCAGCTTGCCCATACAAGTAAAAAAATAAACAATTACGAGTTAAACTTTTTACTCTTTCTTTTCTGAGTTGTTTAGAGCTGGTTTCTCTTGTAGAAACCTTTCGTACTCTTCCATGGTCATGTAATTGCGAATTTGGTACGCAATTCCAGGTTCGTTGTTTTTGAACCTTACGTATGTAACGCTTCCATCCTCCTCAGGGAAGTAAGCTGCTAACATCTGACCAAGTTTTCTCGGTGACTCGGAGCTCATAAAAATGTCACTTTTTAAACGTTAAGTTTTTAGTCTTATTTTACCCTTTGTTTACCCTTTGTTTGTCAAGGTAGTATTGGAGTGCAATTTCTCCAAATTCTCTGTGTCGGAGTTCTTCAGCATTTTCCAAGGTGTACCTGGAGAACTCAAAGAAGTTGTCAAGAAGATACTGCCATGCTGCTCTTCTGAGTTCGTCGGTATTTTGGAAGTGTTGCACCTTCGAGTCTTCGGACATGAAAAAATGACACTTTTTTCAGCAAAAATATATTTTAGGTGAAGAGGTGAGATTTCACCTCTTTTTTCACCTGTTTTTTCACCTCATGAATTTTCATGAATTTCTTCGTAAATGTTTTGTCGAAACTTCATCGTAATGAGCGTAAATGACAAAAATATATTTTAGGTGAAGAGGTGAGATTTCACCTCTTTTTTCACCTGTTTTTTCACCCTCTTGAATTTTCCCGAAATAAAAAATAAAGTTGGTTTTTTTAAAAAAATATTTTTTATTTTTATTGTAAGAACATGTTAGCAACAACAGCACCAAACTCGTTAGTCATGAACCCAACTTCAATGTTAGTAGAGATGAAAAGCTTCATTCCTTCTTCATATACTTTCGAAACAAAAATCCAGAAGATAAAGCAAGAACTTTTAACAAGTAATTTAGACTGTAGTGCGAAAGATGAAACAAATGAACAGTATCTTTATGAAATGCAGGATATTATTGACCATTTACCTAAACTTCCTGAAATCCAACAACAAAAACTCACTATTCCAGAATTCGATGAAATAGAAGTCGGACTGACTGACTCAGTAGAAATAAAGAAGTTCATACGAAAGGTTAACTATGAGTTTCTTGGATTTCATTGCAACCACAAAGTCATGGACAAAGATTGCGACATGGTATATAAGAACATCTCTGACCTTTACAAATCCGAAGAATTTAAGACCTACGACAACTTTGTTTCATTAGTTGCAAAATGTGTATGGAAATAAGAGATAAAGATAGTAGGGTAAGTATGGAATGAACAAATAAGACCCGCTATTTCGAGATAAAGAGAGCAATTGACGCCTTAGTTGTTTTAGCAGGTAAGGTTTCAGAATATAACGCAAAAAAATGAACCCACAATGTTCAAAATGTAAAGCAGCAATGAGGAAATATAACTACTCGTCAAAGAGATAGAAGAATGCGAAACGACTATGCTGACTTAAAGAAAGAAGCAGAGAAACCAGCAGAAGATAAAATGACATGTTAGCATTTCTGAACAAAAACTATCCAACAGCTGAGATTTCCTTCTTCTGACGTCAAGAAGAAGTATAAAGAAACTTTCGGTATCGTTAAAACATTCGATGTACTGACAGAAGAAATAGAAGCACAAAACTGTTTAGGATTTCAAATATACATCATACAATTCATGTAAAACGCTTATAAAATAACAGGTGAAAAAAGAGGTGAAAAACAGGTGAAATCTCACCTCTTCACCTAAAATATATTTTTATTGAATTCAGCAACAAAATTCTGAGTAAAATAATTTTTAGGGCTTGTGTCAAACCGTTGAGTTTTCACAAAATTTAAAAAATAACGTTTACCATGTGAAACGCTTATAAAATAACTGAGGTGAAAAAACAGGTGAAAAAAGAGGTGAAATCTCACCTCTTCACCTAAAATTATTTTTTTGAATTCAGCAACAAAAACAGTGAAATTTCTCTAGACTGACTTCTTTCGGGGTCGCCAAAACTCTTTATTTTTATTGACTTTTTACAATTTGAACTTTGTTCGCGTAGATATGAATTCTGAAAGAAGTATGAGGGTCTTGTATGACTTTGTACTTCTCCCATAGTTCATGTCTGTCAAACTTACCTGCCATGGACTCTTTCATAAGTTCCATGAAATCGTCTTCGGACAATCCAGGGAAAAGTATAATGTCAGTAAGTATTCTTTTAACATCCTTACTTAAACTCTTTGCTGTCTGTACACAAATGACAACTGAAATGTTAAAGTGTCTGAGCTTCTTAAGAATTCGACACATGTCTTGTTCTCTGTTCTTTAACAAAGGATGAGAAGCAAAGTCATCTAAGATAAGAAGACATCTATGAGGGTAAGTCTTCCAATCGTACGATTGCAATTTCTTCGAAATGTATTCTATCTCTTTCTGTTTGTTTCTGAAGTGTTTCTTCTCTAATATTCTCTGCATTTCCTCATTTGGGTCTTTAAACTTCGAATTTATATACTCATTTATAGCATTGTACTTCAAAACTCTTCTTTGGTACTTCTTTATCCAATCCAACAACTCAGAGTCTTTTATACATACTAACTTAGACTTTTTATAATATCTTTGAACGAATTTACGGTTTGGTCAAATTGACCAGAAGTACTACAAATGACTACTAACTCATAGAATGGGTTCTTCTCATCTAGTTCTTGTTGTTGTGCAGCCATTTTAAGATAAGTGAAAGTCTTACCCGACCCAGGTGGTGCGATTAGACCTGTTATACCATTCTGAGCAAATAAGAACTTGTCATGTATGGGTTTTATCTGAGCATTTTCTAACTTCCTCTTGTTCTTTTAAAACATTCTCAAATTTCTTGTCAATGTCAGCAAACTTTTTTTCTAACATATTTTTAGAAAAATTAAAATTTTTATCTTTTGAAAATGTCTAGCGATTTCGCTATCTATATTCGAGACAAGCTTTTCGACAGCAAAACATCTGTCGACCATAAAATCTTACATAGTGTAAACAAGAAAGGTGAATTTGTTCTAAAGTTCTGTTTCTGGGAATATGACAAGAACCATAAAACATTACAAAGAGCAGTCTTAAAATTTGTCAATGACAGACTTGTTGACAGAGATGACGCCGATTGGAAAGATGAAGTCCAACAAAAGTTCTTAGAATGCAAAGAAGACACATGCGCTGTTCTTGAAGATGAAATAGAAAACAGAATAGAAGAGCTATTAAAGGACAAAGAACTTTTACAAAATATGGTTCTGAGAAGTTTGACATAACTCCACCAGAGAAGAAGAAGAAGAGAGAGAAGAAAGAAAAGAAAGTAGAAGAAGAGAAGAAAGAACCTGAACCATTCCAGAGAAGGTGAGATTGACATGTAAAAATAAAATTTTATTTTTAGAACATTTCTGGGTCAATGTCAATGTTCTCTTCCTCTTTAGGAGCAAACACTGGCTTAGACTCTAAAATCTTTTTACCCAATTTACCTTGAACTTCAACTATCTTAGACTCATAATATTCATAGTCGTCTGCTTTCTTTGGTTCATAAGGTATAACAAGTTTGTATGCTTTGCCTTCTTTAAGGTTTTGAAAAACTTCTGTCAAAATTTTCTTTGACTGTAACAAACCTTCTATGTCTAAGTCTTCAAATTTCGCACCATTTTTAGTCACAATAGCAAACTTAACTGGTTCGATGTTCCAAACTTTGTCAAATGTAGACTTTTCAAAATGGTAGAAGTAAACATTCAAATATGCGAATGGGTCTAGTTCTTCTTTGACTTCTGTCATGTACTTGTTTGACTGAGATGAATTTTCATCTTTTCTATCGGATAAAAAAATATTTTTTTAAATTTACTCATAAAAATTTTTCTTTGTATATACGCCGTTCTGAACATCTAAAAGATTTTTGACATTTGCCAAGAATGTACGTTTAAGCTGCCATATAACCATACTCTTGACAATATTGTTTATATGAATCGTACAATGACCTTTCATCTAAACACTCAAAGTAGTTCATCTATGAACAGTTCATATACACTCTTGTTTGCTTCTAACAATGTTTGTCTTTCTTCGGTATGTGGAATTTGTCTTGGATTGAACTTTAGAAATATCTAATGTCATGAAATATGAGAACAAGTGGTTGTAAAAGTTAGGTGTCAAAGTTTCTGCTAAGTCGTCAAAATATTCTGTATCTTGCATATGAGAATCTGACGTTCTGACAACTACATATCTTCTGTCAGAACTTTCTAACTTCATCGGAACGGCATTGTTTGAAACCATGATGAATTTGCAACATTTTCACAAACTCTTTGGTCTTTATATTTTCTTTCAACAACTCCAACTTTGTCTGTTATAAGACTCTTCAAAGCATCTGAGTTTAAAACCTTTGTTGTATCTATACTTTGAAGTTCGTTACATACTATAAGTTTCATATTCTCTATTGAAGAGTTAAATTTACCGCAGATGTTTTCTAAGTTTGTCATATTGGGTTCGAATAGCCCTCTAACAGTTTGCATAAGATATCTGTAAAGAAAGTGTTCTTACCAGTTCCTTGTTTTCCAATTATAATGAGAGCAGTTTCATTTTTAGCACTTGGATGTTGTAAGATGTTTGCAAACCAACATAAGATATACTCATAGACTCTTTCGTTTCCATTGCATATAATTTCTTTGACATGGTCTAACCAAGCTTCTATAACATTTTCTTTCCATTCTACTTGTTCGTATTTATATCCAGTGAAGATAGAATAGAAGTTTGGAGATGGTGTATAGAACTTTATACCACGAACTGAAAAATCTTCTAACTTTGACAATAAGATATCCCAAGCATCTAACATCTTCATACCAACTTGTACGACTTTTATTTTCTTAAGTTTCTGTCTACATTCTTGTTCTGAAACTATGTTGCTCTTGGTTTGTTAAAGACAACATCCCATTCTTTCATGACATAACATTCTGGGGCAGAGTCAACATAAATGACTAAACGTTTCAAATTCTCGACTGCTTTGTTATAGTCTCTAAATGGACACATATTTCTGAACGCTTGGAAGTCATAAAAATCTGAAACGTCTATTCTGTACATTTTTATAAAAAAAAAAAAAATATTTTTTTATTCTTGACTTTGTTGTTGCATTTGTTCCATTTGTTGCATTTGTTGTTCTTGAGCTATTTGTTGTTGAAGTTGTTCTTGTATACAATACTTTCACCAGTTGCATCTTCCAATTCGAAACTTTCTGCCGTCATTGACAAATACATAGGACATAAAAGTTTTACAGGAACAAAGTTTGCGTCAACTAAGGTTAAGTTTATGTTTGCTAAAGTGTTTGAGTTTACTAAAGCTGAAAACTCTGCATTCGAATGAACAATAGGCAAACCAGCAGAGAAAGTGTTGTTTATACGCATGAGTATCTTTTGGTCATAGTAGTTTCTGTCGACATTCGAATAGCACTTTGAACCTAAGTTTGAAACAATATATAAATAGGTGTACTTAAAGTCAATGGAACAGACATTCCTTGTATGACACCTTTTCCTGTTATAGGAAACTGTTGGTAGTAAAAACCAGATATAAGTTTTGTATTATAGCTCATATCGTTTATAGTAAACTCAGTCGGACATCCAAACATAATGAAACCTGCTCTAGTTGCAGCACATGTTACATCCGTCCTTAAAGTATTAAATAAGTCAACAAAACCTGTTGGTGGTATATCTGAGTAAGTATCTTCAAAGAAGTATTTTTTACCATTCACAACAACAAAGTCTTCTGGTGTCAAAAGAGCAAAACAGGCTTTAGTCGTCATCTGTTTAAGGTCAGTTTACAATATCGTCCTTGAGGACTTTGTAAGTTTGTTGTTATAGAATTATATGACTCAGGGTTTTTAGTCGTAATAGTATAAACCACTATGTCTTCTGCCATTTACTTAGCAAGTAAATTTTAATGAAATGTTGTGGTCGTCAAATATTTTTATGACGTCTGGGAAACTATATTTTAAGTTCAACGTTTCACCTCCTTTCATAACGTATATCTTGTCAATGACATTATATGAAACACCACAGCAAGCAATGTCGGGTTCTATTTCTTTGATGTTTATATCGTCTGCCTCTGTCAAAAGTTTCAATAGTTCTTTCAAAATTTCATGAGGTGCGATGACATATGAGTTCACTTTTACAGGGTTGTGTTCGACCAAGTTTAACATTATACCCAAAGCTTGACAAATCTTCTCCTGAGTTTTAAGTTTGTCTTTAAGTTGTTGGTAGTCGTTTCGAATATCTGCAACAGAACTTAAGTCTCTGCTAACTTCAGGGTATGTTGGTTGTTCTTTTACAGGAACTATTGTTATACCATCTTCGTCTTCGTATGGTTTCCCCACTTCAACATCTCTTTCTTTGACATTGACAACAACACTTTGACTGTTTGTTTGAGTTGGTGAATTTAACTTCACATCTGCCACCGCCATTAAACCTTTTGAAACACTTACGCTTCTATTTTTCGGAAATGACATTTTACTTAGAATAAAAAGATGGACGTATTTGAGTATCTCTTCGAATTGAAGCAAAACAAAGTTTACACACACAAACAATACAAATACATTGACAGAATAGTTCTTTACACAAACAATGGAAAATGTTATAGAATAGCAGTCTTTGCTGAACCAAAATATTTTCATAAAGCAAAGAAAGTTGGTATAACCGAGATGGTGAAAGTTCTTGAAGCAGACAAAAATATAACAACAAAACTGACCGATATTTCTAAAGGTAAGTTTATAATACAATTTATGTCAAAACTGGCGTACTGTCAATATTTGACGGAGAGAAGTCAGTTCAAGAACAACTTACTGACCTGCTGCCAAAATCTGCTCGATGGAAGCTGTCGTTATGCCAATCTGAGGAGCCCCAGCAGGTTTCATCGAACGAATCTTCAAAAGAGCATCTTCCGTGAAAAGTGCTATTGGTTTTGTAAACTTCTTTGCTTTCAATTCATCTGGACCGTCTCTGTCACCAGTATATTGTTTGAACTGTACCAACAGTTGAAATACCACCCATAAAGTCTTCTGAGTCAGCAAATGGAATGCCAAGCCAAAAGTTTGAACGGTCTCCATTTGTATATTGAGTTTTTTGAGCTCCTGTATGAGTCCATACTTTCACATATGGCATAATAGAACTTTGCATTTCAGGGTTAATGTTGTTGTGAAGTTGTTGTTAAAGTTCATAGCATCTAATGTCAAGTTGTATGACCTCATATCCTCAACTGTAGAATATTCTTCTCTTGGATAGTATTTGCCATCTATGTTTATATGGTATTTAATACCAGGGTTGTAGAAGCAAGAATAGTCATTTATAGTTCGTCTGAACAGTACAAACATAGTATCTGCATGTTTCATTGCAGTTGTTAAAGCAATATCTGTTCTTGCACCTGGGTCAGCACTTTGGTTTCCAACTTCACCTGCAAAGTCTTTGACAGATATTTGGTGTATAGGGAACATAAGTGGAACTGCAATATATTTGGCAGCTAAAGCATTTGAAATATCTGGGTCCAACATATAGACTGCAAGTCTGCTTTCTATTCTCTTGCATTCAAACTTTTCGCATGTGAACTTAACTGGGTCCCAAGCATTCCAGCAGCATTGAAATAATAGTTTACTTCAGTGTTGAGGTTTGAGAAACCAAAGTCTAAGTCAACTTTGTCTTTGCAAAAGTCGGCGAATGACGTTTTATTTGTTCCCTTTACGTCTGTAAGAGTGAATGGGTCTTGTGTTGGTGCAATGACTAAGTTATTTTTGCTTGGAGTAAGTTCGATAGAAATTTTTCCTGCCCAGTTTGGCAAGTATCTTAAAAACCTGAAGATGAGGAAAGATGACAAAGGAACTCTAAGTTTCAGTTTTACTTTGGTTACTGCTGCTGCAGTTTGTCCAGAAAGGTTAACATAAACTCCTGGAACGTTAGGGTCAAGTCTTCTTATTTTCTCAATAGTTGCATACTGGTCTGTTTGTTCTCTAGCTTGTGGTTGTACTGAGTTTCTCAAAGCGAACCATTCATAGTTTGCCCATGTTACTGTTTGAACTAAGTCAGAGTTAGAATATATCTTATATCCCATGAAAACTTCTGGAGCATATTGGTATCCGACATAGAAAATTCCATTGCAACCTTTCTTGTCAGACAACTTGGCAGAAGGTTTTATTTCAATGTCTTGTTCCACGTATAAGAAAGAGTTGTCAATAGAAATTATATGAAACCTGTCGCAAGCAATATCTACTGTTGTTGAAGAACCTTCTCCAAACTCACCTACGTTTCCATAAGAAACAGCAGTTGTATATTCGTAAGTTCCAGGAACTATTTCTGACCTTCTAATGGCATTGTCGCATTCGTTATACCATTCGGAAACATTTCCATTCATGGCATCCAAAACTGTTGGCGTTATATTCTGAGCGGCGTACATTTCATATGAGTAAAAATATAGAATAGTTGGATTTATATGTCATAATAGAACCCACGTGGACCAAGCTTTACTTTCTTCCTGACTGAGTTTTTAACTCTTCTTTTTCCTTCATTGCCCTCTGCTTGAAGTTGTTGCATCTTTGCATTATGTTCATCTAGTATGTTGCAAATTTCCCATGTCCTTTTTGCCTTTTGGCTCTGGTCGCCCATCTCAGGTAACCTATATCCTAGAAAGAGTTTGTCATAGTCTGTATTTGAGTCTTCGCGTATTGTTTGCATGACTCTTTCCTGAGTTTCTGGTTCAAGCTCTTCAAACAGTGCCTGTCCATATGGAATAAGCTCGTTTCCAAATATATGTTTTTGTAGCCATTCTGGTTTTCTTTCCATGTTACCAACTATATCTTTTGTGAATGGGAAAGCTTCTACCCAATCTTTCAGTCTTGCGTCGTTTATTTCTGTAGTTGGTTTTATTTTGTCAAGGAACATGTTTTTCAATACTAACATTTCATTTGGTACTGTCCATTTGAGTTTTCTTAAATATTCATCCCTTCTCGGTTCATTGTCTGCAAAGTAAGTTTTTATGACATTTTGTAAACTTTCGTTTGCAAGGTCATGTACAATAGGTTCTCTTCCTTCTCCTCCCTAACTTTCTTTCTAAACTCTTCACCAAATATACCATCTCTATGGTTCTGTGTAGTTCTTTGAGATAAATGTTCTAGAACGTCAGGTGTTATATTTCCATCAGCCATGTTCATTTCATACTGGTCCAAAATATCTGCATCTTTCATATCTTTCAATGGCATTAAAGCCGCGCTAAAATACCAGCTATATCTCGTTCACCATTGACTTCCATTGCGTCTACAACTTCTTGGAATTGTGGTTGTAAGTTTATGAACCACCTATCGGATTAGCTTTATGACCCCATCTCATTGTAGTTCCATCGTCTGCAGAAACAAAAGTAGGTTTGTTTCCATCTTGGTTAGGTTCTGAATGAACTTTAAACAATGTTTCATTTCTATATGTTTTCTTGAAATTTAACCTTTTATCTTCACCGAGTTCATCCGAAGATTGAACGTTAAATGCTCGTAAGTAAAAAGGGTTGTTGTATTTGTGTACATTTTTTTTCAGTACTTCATTCTATGCTGAATATTTTCATCTGGTGTGGAGTCTTTTGTATGTCGGCAAACATTTTTCGATATTCTTCTACTATGTCAGCCGAATTTTTTTAGACTCTTGGAAATATTCCATATTCTCCGCATACTCTTGTTGAGGGTCAAGATTTTTCGGCTGTTCCAAATCTTCATCTAGTTCTGTGAAGTTAGTTTCCAAAGGAAGGACTTGTTCGTTTCCTTCAGGCTCTTTCTAGCTGTTGTTGCTGAACTATTTCTTCCATGTCTGGTTGTATCTGAACTCTTCCTGTGGAGTTTCTTGTACCTCATCTGCTGGCATTTCATATATTCCGAGACCGTTTTCAACAATTTCCCTATCTACGTCATCCGCATTCATAAGCTTTTTGTTCTTTCGTTCCGTCTCTATTTTTACGCGTTTCATGACGAAAGTTGAATTGTCATTTAGCTCTGACATCAAATATCTCGGAGTAAATTCATCCATGTCATTTGGATGATATGCTATTAAATCATATCCCTTAGCGAGCTTGTATTTTCCAGGTTTGAGATTATATCCGTTTTGGTGCTGAGCCATAAAGCTAAATAGGTTCGGGTCAGTATTTCCATCCTTGAACTTTCCAATAGCTTCTTTATATCTGTCACTAAAGTCAACAGTATCTGGGAAACCACACTCTTCTTTAAGCATTTTTAAGAATTCTTGGTTTCCTTGTTCTCTACTTCTTTTATGTCCTTGCTCTGTTTGTGGTTGTTGTTGTGCAGGGTTTTGAACTGTTGGTTTTGTGCAGGTTTTGAAACTGTTGGTTGTTGCGTTGGTTGTTGTGTTGGTTGTTGTGCTGGATTTTGAACTGTTGTTGTTGTGTTGTTTGGTGGCATGCCTGTGTCTATGTCCATGTGACGATGTAAATGTTTAGGTAGTCCTGGTGCAGGTGCTTCTCTTGGAGGGTTTGGTGGTATATAAGTTCCACCAGCTGGCACATATGTTCCATCTGCAGCGTAATGTCCTACCTGACTTTTCGTTCTTAAGAAAGCATTTACTAGGTCTGTTTTGGTCTGTTGTAACTCTTTTTCTTGACTTTTCACAACAGTTGCTCTAACGGCGTCATAGGCACTTTGAACTGCCTGTCTCGTTGCTGCATCTGTTATTTTCGTCATATTTTGTGCTACTTCTTTTAACTCTTTGTCGAAACCTTCAGACTTCAGTTTCTTTCCAGATGAGAAGTCGTTCACTTGTTTCACCTTACTATGAAGAGCTTCGAAAGCGTTCTTAAAGTCAGCATTTGTTAAAGCTTCATTTGAACTGTCTTCATCCGCTTGTATTTTTGTCCTTATTGACCCTATAAGCTGGGCTGCTTTAGCGTTGGCTTGGGCATCTAACCAGTCATTGTTAGCTTTATATATTCTGCGCTTTTCATTGCCTTTTGCATAGCCGCGTCGTTATTTTTACTTTCTTGTGCTAAGTTTTCATACTGTACGGTTTGGTTTTGCAACTGTAAAAGTTTTTCTGCCTTTACATTTGCTTCAACTTCTTTTTTATACTCATCGCTATCCATATATGTCTTCAGGGCTTTTTGTTTTTATCTCTTCATCTTTCAGTATTTTATATTGAGTAGTATGGTTTTTCAAATTTATGACATCTTGTTCCATTTTTGCTACTTCTGCTGCTTTTTCTGACACTTTTTTCGCATATTCCTCTGTACTTAGTTCTTTCAGTTGTTCTTCTTTCTTCTTTTTCTCTACGTTTAACTCATTTTAGTTTCTTTGTGTGTCTGTCATATTCTAGTTTTCTTTTCGTTTTCACTTATTTGCTTCTGTAATGTCTAGTTTGACTTTGACATCTGTTATTTGATTTTTGAGTGAACTCAAATTCATTTGACTTTGAGGGTTATAGCTGTTCCGTCTGCAGCTCACCATAGCCTGCCATTTTCGCTAAAAGTGCCGCTCTAAACCTCCACTCTGTGCACCAAAACTCGGTTTAAAAGCATAGGGTTGTTGACATTTGTTGCAACATAGTGGGGTCATTCAGCATTTGTTGTTGCAACTGTTGTTGTGGTGTCAGTTTTACTATGGATGTTCAATGCTCTCTTCCTCTTACGTATATTTTTACGTAGCTTACGTGGCATTTTAAGTGAAGTTAAAAAGCGTTTTTGACAGATGTTTATATGACACTATTTGTTCAGCACAAAAAACTACTCGGTCAAAGTGTTGTCAGTTTTGTAAAATAACGCGTCCTATCGTTATAATGGGGAAAAGGCTTTCAAAGTATATTCCTTAGAACGCCTGTAATTTTTCCTGTAGCGACGATAGACCCTTGCTTGTCCGGACAAAGTTATACTATTTTGAGTGCTCTACAAAAAAAGTCAAGCGGCGACGACTCTCAAAAACCGTTGTGTAAAAAGTTTTACCGTTGGACAAAAAAGTATATATAGAAAACAAAAAACGTTTATAGTTCATTCAATATTTAGAGATGGAACGGTTTGCCAACGGAGACTTTTCAATAAGAGGTTACCGTTGACGAAAAACGGTTTATTTTAAACTTTTTCTATGAGTTTATTTTTCATAATGGAAGGAAGAAAAGTGTCGCAAACAATTCGTCGACTACCTCTGCAGTTAAAGTTCCTACAACTTATGTCTCACCATTTTCAAAACCTTACGACCTCCTATAATACCAAAGCAACTTCCTCATACAATTCAAGACAATTTGTCCAACAATTTGAGTTCTTCTTCTCAAAACACAACAGATACAGTTGTCCAAACAGCACCAGAAAGTTTCACATAGTTCTACAATTCAAGACAAATTGTCCAACAATTTGAGTTCTTCTTCTTCTCAAAACACAACAGAAACATCTGAAACAGATTTACACCCAGCACCAGAACAAGTTTCACATAGTTCTACAAGTATGTTAACAGAGCACAATTTCAAGATTTAATTTCTCTTGAACAATATTCGAGTAACGAAACACAAACCGACGACTGTAACCTCTCGCTACCCGAATCCATTCAAAGAAAATACGCCATGAAAAGACTGAAATTGTTGTATAAACTTCTTAACAATTGGGGGTCGAAGACAACTCAGACTATAGTGAAATGTTTAACAAAGTCATAGAATCTGTTAAACCAATTGAAAACGACATAAAAAATCCCGGTGTTCTTGTAGCTTTTCGCCTCAAAATTACCAGTTACAAACAATTTCATACAACACAAGCATAGAGCAATTTATTTTATGTTTTCCCAAGCAATATAGACAACACCTGAGGGAAACAAGAATAGGAAATTTCAATTGGTGTATCCTACAACATACAACTATTACGAAGAAGCAAATGAATATGGAGAACTCTCATTCCATTTCACACTTTCAGTTCCTGAGGGAGAAGAAAAAGCAATCTATCATGTACAATCTCTTGCAGGATGTGAAAGGAAACACACATAATAACTACTGTTGCAATTGACAAACCTGCAAGAGTCGAAGACGATGTTTGTTCGCGTCTATTGCTGGTTTTGGCATGGGAGAACCAATTCCAATTTCCCATTTCACAGAATACTCAGCACAACATTTTCAAAATGTAGAATTCGTGTTCTACGACCAGCAAAAGTTCCTGCTAACAAAACCAAAGAAACAATTTGTCTCAATATTTGTTGCTGGTCATGTGGCTGACAAAGAGCCATCAGATACTGACTATGAAGAAGAGGAGGAGGAAGAAGAAAACGATAGCGATGTCGTTCTTATCGAATAAAAACTTTAATTTCTTACTATATAATTTTTTTAGTTCTCCTCTAGGTTTTTTTAGGGGCTAGAAGGGGCGCAGCCCCTGGAAGCCCCTCATACCTGACCTTTTCTCTTTAATTTTTAGTCGTTTGAGAAAAATAACTTTGATAAATGCATGAATGCAATTTCAGTATTTAAAAAAGTATCTACGACAAATAATAATTTCCACTATTATATTTAATCGATTTTATATTTAGAGCCTCTCAATATAACAAAAAAATGTAAAAAAGGCCACAATATTATATTAGTTTATAAATTGAAAAATTAATACCTATTACTTATAACAAACTGATATTATAAACTAAGGATGTCAATTTGGAAGAAAAGTGAGAAAATTCCTAAAATGCTAAAAATGAATTTTCCAAACGTACGTTTTTATCTCATTTTTTTGATTTTGAAAAAAATTTGGAGAGAAGAACTCTTCGTTTTTGAATTTTATCACGATGGTTTTAAAGTATATTAGACGCATGTAGGGCTGTACAAGATTTAAAAAAACATTGCCGGGTTACCGTAGAGGCCTAAAAAAATCGCGCCTCGGCGGCAAGCCGCCTCGGCATTAAGAATGCGCATCTAAATTTTTATATGTCCTTCTTTCTTTTATTTTTCCCTTCCCTTTCTTTTCTTTTTCTTTTTTCCCTCCTCTTGCTCTCATTTACCTTTTTTTTCCTTTTCTCATCATTTTTCAAAATTTAAAATTTTTATCAAAAATCTTGCCTATAAAAGCAGATTATGGAACCTTTTAATGCCTCTTAATCAATATTATACAGCATAAAGCATATTAAATGAAAGTAATTACGTATAAATTTATTTTATTATCTTATTTATTAATTCTTTAGCATGTATTGTTTAATATTAACTTTTCTGTACATTAAATATGATATCTCCAAAGTATGAATGCCTTGTAACGAAACGAAAACTTAATTTTATGTTGAATATTTGTCACAAACATTAGATTATTAAAATATATGTTGGATATCCCTTAGTATGAGACTTCATGACTCTTGTTGTCTAACGTGAGCTTTGGATTGCAAGCTTGCTACAGCACATAAGTATTCTGTGGTTAAAAAAACCACATGAGCTTTAAAAACTATAAAACCAAAAATAATTGTTATAATTTAAATGAAGAAGTAATTTAAAACGATTTTATTTATGATCAAATTTTATATATTTTTTTGGATCAAATCCATTTTAATAGAATTTATATACTATTCATCTATTAGTAAACACTACCGTATATTATTTTTAAGCTATCTTATTTTTTGAAATTTTATTCAAATCTTTGGTCGCAAGAAGAATTGCATGATAAATAAAAACATTTAATCAAAGTCAATTTTATTTTTCATATTCAAATGGACTGAGTGTTAACATTTAACATTTTTTGCTAATTGTCGTCAAAAATTAGGCGTAAAGCAAAAATTGATATTTCATATGGTTTTATGATAGATAAGCATTATATTCCCACTCATTATATTCGTAAATTTTGAGGTTTATCCTTCGCTTTTAAGATCATTGAATTTGATTTTTATATAAAAAAAAAAAAAAAAAAAAAAAAAAAAAAAAAAAAAAGGCAGTGGGGCTTCCAGGCACTTCGTGCCTTCTAGCCCACATAAATGAAGTTTTTATTCGGAGGTCTTCCAGGAGCTTTTCACAAATTATATATGTTTTCATGTTTTGTCAAGACTTCTTCGTAAAATCAGACAAAAATAATGTTTAGGGTAGAAGGTTAGATATAACCTCTTTTCTAACCTCTTTTCTACCCTCTTGAATTTTCAAGACTTCTTCGTACATGTTTTGTCACTTTTCTGTCACTTTTCAGGAAAAAACATTTTTATTATTATATATAAATGAATTTTACAAAACCTCCGTTACCGTTCTTTGGAAATAAGAGTAAATGTAAAGATATTATATTGAGAGAACTTAAGAAACTACCGAATGGTCTAACATTTGTAGATTTGTTCGGTGGAAGTTTCTATATATCCCATTTGTGCCATACTGTATTTCCTGACTCAAAGATTATATGCAATGACTTCGACAACTATATGAACCGTCTCAAACATATTCCAGACACTAACAAAATATTGAAAGAGTTAAAAGAAAAGATACCTATAGGTAAGATGGAACGTATACCATTAGATAAGAAAAATATTGTGAGAGAGGTTTTGAAAAAAGCAGAATATATAGACTGGGATAGTATATCTGCTAGACTATTATATAGTGGTGCTATAAGAGTTCATGACATTGAAACACTTATGTCAAAAGTTTTATATCTCAACTATACAAATGTTTTCAAAGAGGACATAGAAAAATATATTGAGGGTATAGAGTTTGTGAGATGTCATTGGACAGAGTTGTATGAAAAATATAAAGACAAGGAAAATGTTTTCTTTATGGTGGACCCACCGTTCTATAACACATGGGATTTTCAATACCAAGTAGACTGGACTTTGAGAGACTCTTTAGAAACTTTAGACGTTTTACATAACCATCCATGCTTTTACTTTACATCCGATAAAAGTGGTTTGGAAACCGTTATGAGATGGTTAGAGGACATACATGACTATGAGTTTAGATATGACAAGATAGAATATGAGAGAGGTCCTATAAACTGGAGAAAGTGTCACAATAAAGAAATTTTATTGGTAAGTAAATGTGGTTTGAAATAGGACTACTTGTTTTAGGTTTTTTCCATTGTGTCATTTATTTATTTGACGTGGCAGAAAGGTACAGAGAATATGAAGATGAACCAATGCCTGCAAATGTTCAGCATATGTACTCGTAAGAGATATTTTTATCTAATATTAAATGGACGCACAGAACTTAGCGAATGCGCAGCAACCTGGACAACCAAACCCAGAGAATATTCCAAATGAAGTTAGAATACAAACTGCAATGGCAAACTATGGTCAAGTGCCAACAGATGTACAAATGCAAACTGCCATGTCAAATGACGCTGCGTTAGGTTTGCCACCATGGTATGCAAATATGAGATGGAAAGAGTTTTATACAAACCTGAAGTGGGATATAAACAACTCTATGCAGATGACGCGAACACAGGAGTTGACCCAGAGTATGTTTTCTACCAGAGGAGAAACAGAATGTATGAGCTCCAGTTAAAGAATGCTATGGAACTCAACAGGAAACGTAAGAGACTAGGCGGACATTAGATTTTTACATATAGTAAAATGGGTTTCTTCAGTAAGATAGGAAACTTCTTTCGAAATGTTGGAAGAGGTATATGGAATGGAATAAAAACCGTAGGAAGAGGAATTTGGAACGGAGTCAAAAATATTGGTAAAAGAGTAGGTCAGTTTGTTGGTATTATACCTAAAGACCCTGAACCAGAAGAGCAAGCTCCTGTTATACAACAGCCTGAACCTGCACCACAGTCTAGTTGGCAACCAAATCCAACACCTCAACCGTATTAAAAAATTATATTTTTACCGTTCGATAGTAGTTGTATATGAAACTAAGTTCTAAGTAAAACGCATGGTATAATGGAATTATTCTTTTTCTTCCATCTGTAGTAAACCATACTTGAAAGTCTGAAATACTTCCACTTGGTGGTTCATATAGCTTTGTAGGTTTTTCGTAAAAGTCATTTGCCAAGCATAAGAAAGAGTTTTGGGCGCCAGAAAATGAAGCATGAACAATAATAGCAGCTGGGTCGAAAACATCTTTAAATAAATATGGTTCATCTCTTGCATATCGACTGTAAATATTTGCTAAAGGAAGTTCGACTTTCTGATTTAACATTCTTTGCAAATAATACCATGACATTGCAGTGAATTCTGTATATATTTGTTCGTCTTTCTTTGGATTGTCTTCGTAGATTTGAAATGACACTTGTGAATTTTGTTTGTCATATACAATTCTCACATAAAGTGTGCTCTCGGTATTTGCATATTCATCAGCATATTTTGCATAACATGAATTTATTTTATCTTCTATATTTTTTAACGCAGTCTGTAGAGAAGATGAAAGGTCAACTTGTATTAGCTCAATTTCTTCCCACATTTTTCGTTTCCCTTCAGATATATAATCTATATGAAACCTTACAATAAATGGAAAACTTTTATCTTCTACAGACACAAACTTCATTCTACGAAAGCCAATAGCTTTTGTGACAGATGGGTCTCTTAACCATCTTAATGGGTAGTCAAAACGATAGCCTTCATGCTTTACGGTCTCTGTCTCAAACTTTTGACCGACATTAGTAAAAAGTTCATCTAATGGTTTAGTTGTAGCAACTCTTGAATTTTCTTTTTCTATTGGAAGCATATTTTATCTAGAATAAAAATGTCGAAAGAAACAGCGTCTATGAGAGAAATAAAACACAACCGACAACTCATTTTGCAAGCTCTAAATAAGAACACAACAAACTTTTTCAAACTATTCTAAGATATCTGAGTCATTGAAAGAAGGAAACTTAAAACTGACATTAAACCCAATGACAGATGAGTTTCTATTTCAAGACAATAGGAACCATACTGTTTGTATAAATCCAACAAAAGGAACTTTAAACGAGAAACCTATAGATGAACTTCTTTTGAAAGCAGATGTTGACAACAAAGCTGACAAAGAGTATGTAGACGATGCAATAGCAAAAGAAGAAGAAAGAGCTAACAAAGCTTATGCAACAAAAGAGGATGTTGAAAAGAAAGCAGATAAAACATATGTTGACGATGAGTTAGCATGTGTGACTAGTGCGTTAGTGAAGAAGGCATATAAGGAATATGTGGATGAAAAAGACAATGAAATTAAAGAAAGGGTTGACTGGTACCATGAACGGACATCGAAGATTTTAAAAACTAAAGCCGATACAGGATGGGTTTCAGGGTGTTTAGACCTTAAAGCCGACAAGAACCATACACATACCATTGCAAATATTGCAAACTTACAAGAAACCTTAAACAGGAAAAGTGACGTTGGACATACACATACCATTGCAAATATTGCAAACTTACAAGAAAAGTTTAGATGACAAAGCTGACAAGAACCATACACATACAAGTTTTACAACTGTTGCTATAGAAAATATTGAAGGAACGGTTGAAGAAACTGGTGGGGATGTATTAGATTGGAAACCTCCTAACTTTCAGAAGGTTTAACATCGGATAAAAACATAACAACGATGAGATACATTAGATGTAGAGATGTTTATGTCATGGAGGATGAAAATAAAGTTAAATTCACTGCTCAAGATTTATATGACAAGAAAGCAGACAAAACAGAGCTTCAAACATTAAAGACAGAAATACTTCAAACCATTTACCCGGTTGGTTCTATTTATACGTCAATGAACTCTACCAGACCAGAAGTAGTACTTGGTTTTGGAACTTGGACTCAAATATTCGAAAGTTTTTTTGTATTGTGCACACACTCCAAAGAAAACAGGTGGAAGTAAAACGATATCTGTCGACAACTTGCCACCACATAGTCATCTCTGGTACAACAAACTTTTCTGGCGACCATAGCCACTCATTACGAGACCATCCATTATACAACTCAGAATATGAAGCTGGCTATGACGTTTTATCTCCAGATTATAACCATTCAGCAAAAAAGACTTTCGACAAACTGAACCAGGAGGAAACCACCAACATCTTTTACAACAACATCTACAGGACTAGGTAAAAAATACATGCCACCTACATGACAGTTTGTGCATGTATAGAAATTGCTTAGTCGTCATTTTCAACTTCTTTAGCATATTCGTCAGGAGTTGTCTTATATTTGTTAGGAACTGTCTTTGAAAGTATACCACCTTGAACCTTAACAAGTTTGAAACGAGGTCTGACAATAGTCGTTTTATCTTCTGCTTGCAGTCTGTACATTTTGCCATGTTTGCCTAAAACTTCATAATATTCTCTTGTATACTTTCTTCTATTTTTACGAACACGAATGCGAGTACCTGTCGAGTTCCCATTGTTGTCATAGTCAATAGTATTTTCATATGGGTCGCGTTTAGGTATTTCTATTTTTACTTTGTCACCTTTCTTAAGTTTGAAGCCTGGCATTCTTTCTTGTTTGTCTCTTTTGACTAAACTATTAAATATATAGTCTTTCTCTAAGTCGGGGTTGTTTTTCATTTCTTCGGGGGAGTGGTTTCCCAAACCTTTTTGTTTACGGCTATTGTAAATATTTAAAACTTGTCTCATCTTTGCCATGGAGAAGTGTCTATATTTGTCGTCATATGACATTTCATCTACCTCACCACCTTGTGGTTGGTTTAAGTCTCTTAAGATTTTTATACAACTGTCAATGACACCAAGAGCAGAATGGTTTTGGTCGACAATGAAATATTGGTTTACATTTTTTGAACGCAGATAGTTTTTAATATCATCTGATTTGAAAGAACTTTCACAGTCAGATGTCAGTTTTGTTGGATGGTATTTGTCAACGAATATTGTCAAAGCAGTTTTCACATCTAAAATATTTTTGGACTGTAATGGTATGGCTTCACAGTATCTTGTGTTTTGACCGACAAATATTAGCCAGTATGGAGGTCCATCTTCTCTATACCTCGGAATGTTTTCCAAGATATCCATAAACCAAGCATTTGGTGTTGAACTAAAGATTTTTATCATGAGTGCTTTTTTTGTTGCCTTAGAAACATAGGGGTCCTTGTTTGGATTCGTCATTTTTTAACCCATAAGAAATGGGTTTATTTGGCGCATTAGCAGGAGTTGCATCCAGATTTTTGCCCGCAGTGGGAACAATAGCCAGAGGTGCATTTGGAATTGGAAGGAAGATTTTGAGTACATTAGGTATACTTAAAGAGAAAGCACAACCTATTATACAAACTGTACAGAAAGGTTGGGAGGTAGCACGAGATGCAGCAAATCTTATTCCAAATCCTGAAACAAGAGGAAAAGTTCAAGGATGGATGGACAATGTAGGAAGACAAGCAGGAAACTACTATAACAAAGCAAATGACTACTATAACCAAGCAGGACACTATATGGACCAAGGTGAAAGATTCTTTAACAGAGGATATAACCATGCACAACAATGGGTAAACAACAACCAACCGCAACCACCTCAAACGTGGGGAATGTAAAATTTTTTACTGAGATGAAATGAACAATACAGCATTGAGACAAATGGGCTCAAGATGGATTTGTCGGCTTCCAGCAGTTACACAACCACGTGTTTGTCAAGTCCTCCTATACCTCAGGAAGTTTTAGACCGACTTAAAAAACCTAAACAACCAGTTGAAAACAAACCAAACTAAAATTTTTTACTGAGATGAAATGACCGAAGAAGTTGAAACGGTAGATTTGACACCACAAACAAAAAGTTCAGAACCATTGTCAAAACCTGTCAAAGAACTTACAGATGAAGAGAAAAATTCAATAATAGAAAGTGCCAGGTCTGGAAATACAAACCCTAACTATAAAGTCACTTTTCATAGAAATGGAACGGCTAGTATCTCAAAAAAGAAACAGACTCTCACAAATAAAATATTGAAGTCTGAAGGAGTTTATGAGACAACAGATGGAAAAGTATATTTTACCGACCAACAGTTCATTATAGAACATCTCATTGACTTAGAGTCAAAATATTCTAAACTTTACAACAAACACAAAAAGTTGAAAGGAAAACAAAAACAAATGGCATATGATATTTATGAAGATGTTGACGACACAACTGTTCCTGCAAGTGAAGTAAAGTCAGAGGAACCAAAAAGTGACGAAAAACCGATAGAAGAAGGTGAGCCAAAAACTGAAGATAAACCAAAACCAAAGGTTAGTTTCCAAACTAAACCAAGTCAACCTTCATTAGCTGGTATGGGTTGGCGTCAAAGACTTATGGCAGCAGGCGGTTATGTAAAGTAAAGAAAAAAAAACATTTTTTTATTTTTATAAAAATGCCCCCGTATAGAATGGATAGAAGGTCTGCTAGAATAAAAGCAGAGTTAGAAAGATATGGTTGGAAAGTTTCAAAGAAGTTTAAATATAGGAAGGGAAGACCCATAAAAGTCTATGACAAACTGGCTGGTCTGACCTATGAAATGGACTTAGAAACCGCGCGCGCAAATTATCCAAACAGACTAGAGAGGTTAGAAGAAGAACGTCTTATGGACATGCCTTTCGATGTTAGTGAGCCTCAAGTTGAGGGACACGACGGCTTTGCCAGATTCTATTGGAAACATGACGAACAATTGCATCCTTTGAGACGGAAAAAAGGGAAGGGTGAAGACAAACATGCTCCCATGGAAAGAACAAGATATGCATATGAAAAGTATCGTGAAGTTAGAAGTCAAATTACATCTGGTCGAACCTTTACAGTAAACTTTGACGAAGGAAAGAACAAAGAAGGCTTCATGGGAGTACTTGCTGCCATACAAGACGGAAATAAGAAAGGATATAACCTCAGATTGACCATAACAGATTTGGACGGTCACATTTACTATGCACATGGCAATGTCACAACAGCCGCACAACTTCTTGACGCTTTCAAGACTACAAAGAGAGAACAAATGTTTGACTCCGACTCAGACATTTTGAATGCAATTGAAGGAATTGCAAGTGTAAAATTTGAATGGTACCAACCTAACCCTCAAGCAGTCAGACAACATGCTGGATACTTCCCGTTCATAAATAAGTCTGACATTGACTTGACAAGGTATGGAATTTACAATTCAATTGAAACAATTGTCAATGAACCTTGTATTCTTACATGTCTCAGGAACTCTGGTCTTGTTACAGATGAGAAGATGAAGTATCTTGAGTCATGTGTGAAGACAAGGTACATTCTCAGAGGTCAATTGGCAAAAGTTGCACCGTTGGCAAATGTCAATATCCGAGTCAACATACCTACAGCTAAAGGTTCTTCACATGACGACTATGTTGTTGACAAAGACTTACCATGGTTGAAGATTGTAATTGTCCACAACCACTTCATGTTGAACGAAAGTCTTACAAACCCATTGTTCGGAAAAGGCAAGTGCAACACTGTCAGAGCTGTTAACATTCTTTTCGAGAAAGGTTTGTTGGAACCAATTCCAGATGACAAGCTGACAGAAACTTTTGTACCAAAAGACGAAACAAACTTTTCATTGTTAGCAAGACCAAAAGTTGTTCCAGACAAAGTTCTAGTACAAAAGAAGTACACAATTCCAAAAGGAGTTGGATTGTTCGGATACCAACCTGAACCAGAAGAACTTCCAATGAGGTTGCAAGAACTTCAAGATGCTATAAACAAACTTCCATTGAGACATCCAATTGACGTCAAATTGTATTGGAGAGCATCTGAGTTAGGTCAGAAGGTTTTATATGAAACAGGTTGCTTCGACGATGTTTATGAGATAACAGGAGAAGTTTCTCAGAAGATAAGAGACTCACTTGAATTTCCACAAACTGGACCAATTGGTTGCGACAAGTTCGACTCAGATGAAAAGATATACTATGTCGACCTTAACGCTGCATACATGAGGTTTGTCCAATATATCCCGACTGGAATTCCAAACGAAGATGGTGAGTTCTCGGGAAGGAACTATACAGTTGGAAAAGTCATACAACAACTGTATGATATTAGGAAAGCTTCAAACCCCAAACTTGCAATGACACTCAAATTGCTTATGAATTCGACATGGGGATATTCCATTAAGAAACCTCAAGAGATGAAGAGTAAACATTATGAGAAGGTCGACAACTTTGTTGAAAGGTTTTCTCCTTTTGTTTTGAAGTACGAATTCACTCAAGGTCAAAGTGGCTTAGTAACCACATTAAAACCTATTGTCGAACATTGGTCTTACCCTCAGTTCGCAAAGGCAGTCCTTGACAACTACAACAAATTCTTCTCCGAAGTCAAATCCAAAGTGAAGGTTTACTATGAGAACATTGACGCACTCATGACGAACGAAGAAGGGTACAACAAACTCATTGAAATGGGCATGGTCGGTGAAAAGATGGGTCAATTCAAATTGGACAAAATTTTCACCGAAGTTCATGTCCTCTCCAAGCGTAAGTACTGGGGCATACTTGAAGACGGCACAGAAATAAAACATTGCATGAAATAAAAAATTTTTATTCGAATTTGAATCGGACAGGTCGAGTTACACCATTCTTGGTCTCAAACTCATATATAACCTGTTTGTTTGTATTTTCGTCGACTATGGCACGAGACACAAACATTGACCAAACGGACAAAAAGTGTCATTTCAGATGGTCCCGCAGCCAATCGCATTCGAGCACTTCGAAGAAGCCTTACGTTCCAAGGGAGAGGGTGTCTGGTGCAAGGCAGAGGTCATGAGACTCTACGAGCAGTACATCCTCAATGCCTGGGAGGACAAATCGTCCTTGGATTGGCAATTCTACCAACTCCTCTGGGACGACCTCCTACGCAACTGGGATGACGAAAGAGTCCAATTCAGAGGTCAGGAACTACTTGTCCAAATTATCCTTAATTTAAGCTACTTATCCAAATAAACACCTAAATTTACTTGGGGTTTCCCCCTAAAATAAAATTTTTTTACTCTTAGAACCACTCGAGGTTCTCCTTACGGTTGTTGAGCTTGTCACCGTCAATGTGTCTGACCTTCGTCCTCTTGTTTGGATTTGGAACCCATTGAATTGCGACAAGCTTGCCCATGGAGATTGAACCGTATTCCGAAGGTAAGGTTCAAGTGTCCCAAGTTGTTGAGGACTGGGGTAAGAACCTTGCCGTCTCCTTGTTGCGGATTTGGTATGGGTAGGGTTGGGAAATTTCGTAAGTGTCATCGGCAACAAGGGTTGCCCAAACTTCCTCTTCTTCGTGTTTCTCTTCTTCCTCTTCTTCCTCTTCCTCTTCTTCGTGTTTCTCTTCTTCCTCGACAATTCCTTCTTCAATTCTGTGTTCACGAAGTACGGTGTTGGAGGTTCTGTCCTTTCCGAGTACCTTCCAGATGGCGTCTATCTCTTCGAAGAAACGGTAGATGAGTCTGGCAAGGTCTCGGTTCTCTCTCGCGTAAATGCGCAAGGTTTCCGTCAAATCGTTCAGGACTTTCTCATTGGAAGCTTGGTTCATGAGGAACTCACCTTTAAGTCCCTTCATCTCTTCCATAAGACTACTTTGGAGAGTCTTAACGGTGTTTGTCAGATGAGCTTTCAAATTCAAAATTTGAATTTGAACTGGGCGCTTGTCTGGCAACATTGAAAGGACATCTGCCATTGTGTTCGGCTTCGGTGCTTGTTCGGACATCGAAAAAATGAAGTGGTTTGAGAATGACGGTTTTACTTCAAAAAGCTTGTTATGACGGTTAAGTCATACAACAAGTTTAAAATAATATCTTGTTCTTCTTCTGAACGTTTGTTGTCTCTTCCGATAAAAGTTTCGAACATGAGAACCAAAAAACGTTTTTTGAGATTGCGGAAGAGTTCAGGCAAACGTTCATATTCTGGATATGTTGGGAGCAGTTCAAAACATCTGAGCTGACTTTCGGACAAAATTGGGACAATGTCAGAAAATTCATCTTTGGTCGGACTGCTTGAAGGTAAGTCCCTTACATGTAAGTAGCTCTGGTAAAGTCTTCTCATTTCTGCTAACTTTTGGAGTATAGCTTCGTAGTTTAGAAGTTTTAATTTTAATTGTCTTATTCCACTCTTGACATCTAAACGGTAACTATCCATGAGGTCAAGAGTAGCTTTGGTAGCTTTAAGTGGAGCTATCTGTTCCTTGACTTGCAATTTTGGTTGCAATTGTGGTTTGAGCTCCTTCAAGTTCGCCGTCTATGTCGTTCTCAACGCCTTCAACCATGGCTTGAAACTCTTCATCGGTCCATTGAGATTGGTGTGGGACGAATTTAACTTGCTTCATTCAAAAAATGAAAAAAAATGTTTTTACTCAAAACGTTAAGGTTGACTGAACTGGTTGGATGTCGCCTTCACAGGTTATGTAGAACGGCTGACCCGAGAAGTGAAGGAGAGACTGAATTGCCAATTTCATATGGGGTAGGGGGTTCTCCTTGTTTGGTATTTTTATCCAAGGACGTTTGTTTAGGAACTTAACAAGAGCTTCTCTTTTGGCGTCCTTTATGCCATCGTAGGCTGTCCCGTCTGGTATTTGAATTGGAATTCCAGTCGAAGTCTCGAGCTGAAGTGTAGACCTTCCAGAAATACTGGTGAACTTGACCTTGGGCTTCATTACCCTGCGCAAGTACTGCTTAACAACTTCATTTATCTCTATAAGGTAAATTGCCTCGTCAAATCCTTCTGGTATTCCGAGTCCTTCCATCCGACAGGAAAATATTTTCCCGACAACTGGAAAAAATTTCCCGACGACAGGAAGAACTCTTCCAGTTGTCCGTCCGTAAACCATTCAAATTTTCGAAAATTGAGAACTTTTGGTCGAACTTCAGAAAAAGTTTTTCCTTCCGACAGGAAAGGTTTTTCCTTCCGACAGGAAAGGTTTTTCCTTCCGACAGGAAAGGTTTTTCCTTCCGACGGTTAAGCCACAAACAGATGTCCGACGTCCACCAACCGAGCCCATATCCCAACCAGAAGAACCGAAAGCTGCAGAACCACAACAGTCTCCTCAGCAACCTCAGTTCCAGCAAGTACCTCCGATTTACTACCAATTTCCACCTCAATGTTACTACCCACCACAAGGCTTCCCGAACTACCCTCCTCCTCAGCCTATGCCTTACTTCCCCAACCCTTGGATGTTCCAGCAAGCTCCACCCCAGCAATTCCAATTCCAATCTCAATCCAAGAGAGACCAAGAGTTCGAGGAAGGTCTGAACCGCTTACGCAAAGAGTATGCTACTACCCCAATGGAAGAAGACAGGCTTTCAGTCTCTTCCCTCAAATCGACCGATTCGACTCGTACCACAGATTCGGTTCGTGACCGTGAAGACTACCTCAAGCAGTCTGAGAGACTCTTCATCCTACAACCATTTACAGTTGGAGCTCTCAAGAACATGCGCAATTACGAAGGTCAGACACCAGCTGGAGACCGTAAAACAGACGTACTCGCAAGAGCAGTCCAACTGGTCAAGACAAAGACCGAGATAGTCGACTTCATTCTTGCAGCTTGCCCATACAAGTAAAAAAATAAACAATTACGAGTTAAACTTTTTACTCTTTCTTTTCTGAGTTGTTTAGAGCTGGTTTCTCTTGTAGGAACCTTTCGTACTCTTCCATGGTCATGTAATTGCGAATTTGGTACGCAATTCCAGGTTCGTTGTTTTTGAACCTTACGTATGTAACGCTTCCATCCTCCTCAGGGAAGTAAGCTGCTAACATCTGACCAAGTTTTCTCGGTGACTCGGAGCTCATAAAAATGTCACTTTTTAAACGTTAAGTTTTTAGTCTTATTTTACCCTTTGTTTACCCTTTGTTTGTCAAGGTAGTATTGGAGTGCAATTTCTCCAAATTCTCTGTGTCGGAGTTCTTCAGCATTTTCCAAGGTGTACCTGGAGAACTCAAAGAAGTTGTCAAGAAGATACTGCCATGCTGCTCTTCTGAGTTCGTCGGTATTTTGGAAGTGTTGCACCTTCGAGTCTTCGGACATGAAAAAAATGACACTTTTTCTATTAAACCGTTTTGGCATTTCTCATGAGTGAGTATAGTTCTGCCGAACCATTGGAAGAGAAGAAGTACTCTTGCTGGCAAAAGACAAAAATAGTTGCCTTAGTTGTCATTGCAATTGTACTCGTAATTGAATTCATTGTACTTCTCTTCACGTACATAAAACTCAAGGACGGCATATGCTTTAAGAAGCTACCATCTTACTAAGACTAAACACTTAGATTTTTCAAGCTTGACTTTTTACAATTTGAATTTTACACCCAAAAATAATGTTTAGGGTAGATGGGTATATCTAACCTGTTTTCTAACCTCTTTTCTACCCTCTTGAATTTTCATGACTTCTTCGTAAATGTTTTGTCATGACTTCTTCGTAATGAGTGTAAAGGACCCAAAAATATATTTTAGGGTAGATGGGTATATCTAACCTGTTTTCTAACCCTTTTCTACCCTCTTGAATTTGTCATGAAGTTTTCCCGAAATAAAAAATAAAGTTGGTTTTTTTTAAAAAAATATTTTTTATTTTTATTGTAAGAACATGTTAGCAGCAACAGCACCAAACTCGTTAGTCATAACCCAACTTCAATGTTAGTAGAGATGAAAAGCTTCATTCCTTCTTCATATACTTTTGAGACAGAAATCCAGAAGATAAAGCAAGAACTTTTAACAAGTAATTTAGACTGTAGTGCGAAAGATGAAACAAATGAACAGTATCTTTATGAAATGCAGGATATTATTGACCATTTACCAAATTGCCTGAAATCCAACAACAAAAACTCACTATTAGAATTCGATGAAATAGAAGTCAAAGCAACTGACTCAGTAGAAATAAAGAAGTTCATTACGTAAGGTTAACTATGAGTTTCTTGGATTTCATTGCAACCACAAAGTCATGGACAAGATTGCGACATGGTATATAGAACATCTCTGACATATACAAATCTGGGGAGTTTAAGACCTACGACAACTTTGTTTCGTTAGTTGCAAAATGTGTATGGCAGATAAGAGATAAAGATAGAAGAGGTAAAGTATGGAATGAACAGATAAAACCCGCAACTTTTGAGTTAAAGAAAACCATTGACGCCTTAGTCATACTAGCAGGTAAGATTTCAATGTACAATGCTAAAATGAACCCACAATGTTCAAAATGTAAAGCAGCAATGAGGAAATATAACTACTCCGTCAAAGAGATAGAACGTATGCGAAACGACTATGCTGACTTAAAGAAAGAAGTAGAGAAACCAGCAGAAGATAAAATGGACATGTTGACATTTCTGAACAAAAACTATCAACAGCTGACGATTTCCTTCTTTCAGATGTCAAGAAGAAATATAAAGAAACCTTCGCATTGTTTAAAACATTCGATGTACTGACAGAAGAAGAAGACGAAATTGTTTAGAATTTCACGAATTCACAATGTTTACCATGTAAAAGCTTATAAAATAACTGGGGTAGAAATGAGGTTAGAAATCGGGTTAGATATACCATCTACCCTAAAAATATATTTTATTGAATTCTGAGTAAAATTCTGAGTAAAATGACATATGGAACACGTACTTTTCAGTAAGGACATATGGGGTAGAAATGAGGTTAGAAATCGGGTTAGATATACCCATCTACCCTAAAATATATTTTTATTGAATTCAGCACAAAACCTCTTTATTTTTCAAGCTTGACTTTTTACAATTTGAACTTTGTTCGCGTAGATGTGAATTCTGAAAGAAGTATGAGGTCTTGTATGACTTTGTACTTCTCCATAGTTCATGTCTGTCAAACTTACCTGCCATGGACTCTTTCATAAGTTCCATGAAATCGTCTTCGGACAATCCAGGGAAAAGTATGATATCAGTAAGTATTCTTTTAACATCCTTACTTAAACTCTTTGCTGTCTGTACACAAATGACAACTGAGATGTTAAAGTGTCTGAGCTTCTTAAGAATTCGACACATGTCTTGTTCTCTGTTCTTTAACAAAGGATGAGAAGCAAAGTCATCTAAGATAAGAAGACATCTGTGAGGGTAAGTCTTCCAATCGTAAGATTGCAATTTCTTCGAAATGTATTCTATCTCTTTCTGTTTGTTTCTGAAGTGTTTCTTCTCTAATATTCTCTGCATTTCCTCATTTGGGTCTTTAAACTTCGAATTGACATACTCATTTATAGCATTGTACTTCAAAACTCTTCTTTGGTACTTCTTTATCCAATCTAACAACTCAGAGTCTTTTATACATACTAACTTAGACTTTTTTATAATATCTTTGAACGAATTGACGGTTTGGTCAAATTGACCAGAAGTACTACAAATGACTACTAACTCATAGAATGGGTTCTTCTCATCTAGTTCTTGTTGTTGTGCAGCCATTTTAAGATAAGTGAAAGTCTTACCCGACCCAGGTGGTGCGATTAGACCTGTTATACCATTCTGAGCAAATAGGAACTTGTCATGTATAGGTTTTATCTGAGCATTTTCTAACTTCCTCTTGTTCTTGTTTAAAACATTCTCAAATTTTTTGTCAATGTCAGCAAACTTTTTTTCTAACATATTTTTAGAAAAATTAAAATTTTTATCTTTTAGAAAATGTCTAGCGATTTCGCTATCTATATTCGAGACAAGCTTTTTGACAGCAAAACTTCTGTCGACCATAAAATCTTACATAGTGTAAACAAGAAAGGTGAATTTGTTCTAAAGTTCTGTTTCTGGGAATATGACAAGAACCATAAAACATTAGGCAGAGAAGTCTTTAAGTTTGTCAATGACAGACTTGTTGACAGAGATGACGCCGATTGGAAAGATGAAGTCCAACAAAAGTTCTTAGAATGCAAAGAAGGCACATGCGCTGTTCTTGAAGATGAAATAGAAAACAGAATAGATGAGCTATTAAAGGACAAAGAACTTTTACATAAATATGGTTGCGCCAAATTTGACATAACTCCACCAGAGAAGAAGAAGAAGAGAGAAAAGAAAGAAAAGAAAGTAGAAGAAGAGAAGAAAGAACCTGAACCAGAGAAGAAGGAACCAGAGCCAGAGAAGAAGAAATTTGACATGTAAAAATAAAATTTTATTTTTAGAACATTTCTGGGTCAATGTCAATGTTCTCTTCCTCTTTAGGAGCAAACACTGGCTTAGACTCTAAAATCTTTTTACCCAATTTACCTTGAACTTCAACTATCTTAGACTCATAATATTCATAGTCGTCTGCTTTCTTTGGTTCATAAGGTATAACAAGTTTGTATGCTTTACCTTCTTTAAGGTTTGAAAACCTTCTGTCAAAATTTTCTTTGACTGCTAACAAACCTTCTATGTCTAAGTCTTCAAATTTCGCACCATTTTTAGTCACAATAGCAAACTTAACTGGTTCGATGTTCCAAACTTTGTCAAATGTAGACTTTTCAAAATGGTAGAAGTAAACATTCAAATAAGCGAATGGGTCTAGTTCTTCTTTGACTTCTGTCATGTACTTGTTGACTGAAATATATTTCGTCATCTTTTCTATCGGATAAAAAAATATTTTTTTTAAATTTACTCAGAAAAATTTTTCTTTGTATATACGCCGTTCTGAACATCTAAAAGACTTTTGACATTTGCCAAGAATGTTCGTTTAGAAGCTGCCATATAACCATATTCTTGACAATATTGTTTATATTCATCGTACAATGACCTTTCATCTAAACACTCAAAGTTAGTCTCATCTATAAACAGTTCATATACACTCTTGTTTGCTTCTAACAATGTTTGTCTTTCTTCGGTATGTGGAATTTGTCTTGGATTGAACTTAGAAATATCTAATGTCATGAAATATGAGAACAAGTGGTTGTAAAAGTTAGGTGTCAAAGTTTCTGCTAAGTCGTCAAAATATTCTGTATCTTGCATATGAGAATCTGACGTTCTGACAACTACATATCTTCTGTCAGAACTTTCTAACTTCATCGGAACAACATTGTTTGAAACCATGATGAATTTGCAACATTTTCACAAACTCTTTGGTCTTTATATTTTCTTTCAACAACTCCAACTTTGTCTGTTATAAGACTCTTCAAAGCATCTGAGTTTAAAACCTTTGTTGTATCTATACTTTGAAGTTCGTTACATACTATAAGTTTCATATTCTCTATTGAAGAGTTAAATTTACCGCAGATGTTTTCTAAGTTTGTCATATTAGGGTTCGAATAGCCTCTAACAGTTTGCATAAGATATCTGTAAAGAAAGTGTTCTTACCAGTTCCTTGTTTTCCAATTATAATGAGAGCAGTTTCATTTTTAGCACTTGGATGTTGTAAGATGTTTGCAAACCAACATAAGATATACTCATAGACTCTTTCGTTTCCATTGCATATAATTTCTTTGACATGGTCTAACCAAGCTTCTATAACATTTTCTTTCCATTCTACTTGTTCGTATTTATATCCAGTGAAGATAGAATAGAAGTTTGGAGATGGTGTATAGAACTTTATACCACGAACTGAAAAATCTTCAACTTTGACAATAAGATATCCCAAGCATCTAACATCTTCATGCCAACTTGTACGACTTTTATTTTCTTAAGTTTTGTCTACATTCTTGTTCTGACTATTGTTGCTCTTGGTTTGTTAAAGACAACATCCCATTCTTTCATAATAACATTCTGGGGCAGAGTCGACATAAATGACTAAACGTTTCAAATTCTCGACTGCTTTGTTATAGTCTCTAAATGGACACATATTTCTGAACGCTTGGAAGTCATAAAAATCTGAAACGTCTATTCTGTACATTTTTATAAAAATAAAAAAATATTTTTTTTATTCTTGACTTTGTTGTTGCATTTGTTCCATTTGTTGCATTTGTTGTTCTTGAGCTATTTGTTGTTGAAGTTGTTCTTGTAGTACAATACTTTCACCAGTTGCATCTTCCAATTCGAAACTTTCTGCCGTCATTGACAAATACATAGGACATAAAGTTTTACAGGAACAAAGTTTGCGTCAACTAAGGTTAAGTTTATGTTTGCTAAAGTGTTTGAGTTTACTAAAGCTGAAAACTCTGCATTCGAATGAACAATAGGCAAACCAGCAGAGAAAGTATTGTTTATACGCATGAGTATCTTTTGGTCATAGTAGTTTCTGTCGACATTCGAATAGCACTTTGAACCTAAGTTTGAAACAATATATAAAATAGGTGTGCTTAAAGTCAATGGAATAGATAGACCTTGTATGACACCTTTTCCTGTTATAGGAAACTGTTGGTAGTAAAAACCAGAAATAAGTTTTGTATTATAGCTCATATTGTTTATAGTAAACTCAGTCGGACATCCAAACATAATGAAACCTGCTCTAGTTGCAGCACATGTTACATCCGTCCTTAAAGTATTAAATAAGTCAACAAAACCTGTTGGTGGTATATCTGAGTAAGTATCTTCAAAGAAGTATTTTTTACCATTCACAACAACAAAGTCTTCTGGTGTCAAAAGAGCAAAACAGGCTTTAGTCGTCATCGTGTTTAAGGTTAGTTTACAATATCGTCCTTGAGGACTTTGTAAGTTTGTTGTTATAGAATTATATGACTCAGGGTTTTTAGTCGTAATAGTATAAACCACTATGTCTTCTGCCATTTACTTAGCAAGTAAATTTTAATGAAATGTTGTGGTCGTCAAATATTTTTATGACGTCTGGGAAACTATATTTTAAGTTCAACGTTTCACCTCCTTTCATAACGTATATCTTGTCAATGACATTATATGAAACACCACAGCAACTAACGTCGGGTTCTATTTCTTTGATGTTTATATCGTCTGCCTCTGTCAAAAGTTTCAATAGTTCTTTCAAACTTCATGAGGTGCGATGACATATGAGTTCACTTTTACAGGGTTGTGTTCGACCAAGTTTAACATTATACCCAAAGCTTGACAAATCTTCTCCTGAGTTTTAAGTTTGTCTTTAAGTTGTTGGTAGTCGTTTCGAATATCTGCAACAGAACTTAAGTCTCTGCTAACTTCAGGGTATGTTGGTTGTTCTTTTACAGGAACAATTGTTATACCATCTTCGTCTTCGTATGGTTTCCCCTTCAACATCTCTTTCTTTGACATTGACAACAACACTTTGACTGTTTTTTGAGTTGGTGAATTTAACTTCACATCTGCCATCGCCATTAAACCTTTTGAAACACTTACGCTTCTATTTTTCGGAAATGACATTTTACTTAGAATAAAAAGATGGACGTATTTGAGTATCTCTTCGAATTGAAGCAGAACAAAGTTTACACACACAAACAATACAAGTTCATTGACAGAATAGTTCTTTATACAAACAATGGAAAATGTTATAGAATAGCAATATTTGCTGAACCAAATATTTTCATAAAGCAAAGAAAGTTGGTATAACTGAAATGGTGAAAGTTCTTGAAGCAGACAAAAATATAACAACAAAACTTACAGATATTTCTAAAGGTAAGTTTATAATACAATTTATGTTAAAACTGGCGTACTGTCAATATTTGACGGAGAGAAGTCAGTTCAAGAACAACTTACTGACCTGCTGCCAAAATCTGCTCGATGGAAGCTGTCGTTATACCAATCTGAGGAGCCCCAGCAGGTTTCATCGAACGAATCTTCAAAAGAGCATCTTCCGTGAAAAGTGCTATTGGTTTTGTAAACTTCTTTGCTTTCAATTCATCTGGACCGTCTCTGTCACCAGTATATTGTATTTGAACTGTACCAACAGTTGAAATACCACCCATAAAGTCTTCTGAGTCAGCAAATGGAATGCCAAGCCAAAAGTTTGAACGGTCTCCATTTGTATATTGAGTGTTTTGAGCTCCTGTATGGGTCCATACTTTCACATATGGCATAATAGAACTTTGCATTTCAGGGTTAATGGTTGTTGTGAAGTTGTTGTTAAAGTTCATAGCATCTAATGTCAAGTTGTATGACCTCATATCCTCAACTGTAGAATATTCTTCTCTTGGATAATATTTGCCATCTATGTTTATATGATATTTAATACCAGGGTTGTAGAAACAAGAATAGTCATTTATAGTTCGTCTGAACAGTACAAACATAGTATCTGCATGTTTCATTGCAGTTGTTAAGGCAATATCTGTTCTTGCACCTGGGTCAGCACTTTGGTTTCCAACTTCACCTGCAAAGTCTTTGACAGATATTTGGTGTATAGGGAACATAAGTGGAACTGCAATATATTTGGCAGCTAAAGCATTTGAAATATCTGGTCCAACATATAGACTGCAAGTCTGCTTTCTATTCTCTTGCATTCAAACTTTTCGCATGTGAACTTAACTGGGTCCCAAGCAGTTCCAGCAGCATTGAAATAATAGTTTACTTCAGTGTTGAGGTTTGAGAAACCAAAGTCTAAGTCAACTTTGTCTTTGCAAAAGTCGGCGAATGACTTTTATTTGTTCCACTACTTCTGTAAGAGTGAATGGGTCTTGTGTTGGTGCAATGACTAAGTTATTTTTGCTTGGAGTAAGTTCGATAGAAATTTTTCCTGCCCAGTTTGGCAAGTATCTTAAAAACCTGAAGATGAGGAAAGATGACAAAGGAACTCTAAGTTTCAGTTTTACTTATGGCAGCAGTTCCATTGTCCAGAAAGGTTAACATAAACTCCTGGAACGTTAGGGTCAAGTCTTCTTATTTTCTCAATAGTTGCATACTGGTCTGTTTGTTCTCTAGCTTGTGGTTGTACTGAGTTTCTCAAAGCGAACCATTCATAGTTTGCCCATGTTACTGTTTGAACTAAGTCAGAGTTAGAATATATCTTATATCCCATGAAAACTTCTGGAGCATATTGGTATCCGACATAGAAAATTCCATTGCAACCTTTCTTGTCAGACAACTTGGCAGAAGGTTTTATTTCAATGTCTTGTTCCACGTATAAGAAAGAGTTGTCAATAGAAATTATATGAAACCTGTCGCAAGCAATATCTACTGTTGTTGAAGAACCTTCTCCAAACTCACCTACGTTTCCATAAGAAACAGCAGTTGTATATTCGTAAGTTCCAGGAACTATTTCTGACCTTCTAATGGCATTGTCGCATTCGTTATACCATTCGGAAACATTTCCATTCATAGCATCCAAAACTGTTGGCGTTATATTCTGAGCGGCGTACATTTCATATGAGTAAAAATATAGAATAGTTGGATTTATATGTCATAATAGAACCCACGTGGACCAAGCTTTACTTTCTTCCTGACTGAGTTTTTAACTCTTCTTTTTCCTTCATTGCCCTCTGCTTGAAGTTGTTGCATCTTTGCATTATGTTCATCTAGTATGTTGCAAATTTCCCATGTCCTTTTTGCCTTTTGGCTCTGGTCGCCCATCTCAGGTAACCTATATCCTAGAAAGAGTTTGTCATAGTTGTATTTGAGTCTTCGCGTATTGTTTGCATGACTCTTTCCTGAGTTTCCGGTTCAAGCTCTTCAAACAGTGCCTGTCCATATGGAATAAGCTCGTTTCCAAATATATGTTTTTGTAGCCATTCTGGTTTTCTTTCCATGTTACCAACAATATCTTTTGTGAATGGGAAAGCTTTACCCAATCTTTCAGTCTTGCGTCGTTTATTTCTGTAGTTGGTTTTATTTTGTCAAGGAACATGTTTTTCAATACTAACATTTCATTTGGTACTGTCCATTTGAGTTTTCTTAAATATTCATCCCTTCTCGGTTCATTGTCTGCAAAGTAAGTTTTTATGACATTTTGTAAACTTTCGTTTGCAAGGTCATGTACAATAGGTTCTCTTCCTTCGCTCTCCCTAACTTTCTTTCTAAACTCTTCACCAAATATACCATCTCTATGGTTCTGTGTAGTTCTTTGAGATAAATGTTCTAGAACGTCAGGTGTTATATTTCCATCAGCCATGTTCATTTCATACTGGTCCAAAATATCTGCATCTTTCATATCTTTCAATGGCATTAAAGCCGCGCTGAAAATACCAGCTATATCTGGTTCACCATTGACTTCCATTGCGTCTACAACTTCTTGGAATTGAGGTTGTAAGTTTATGAACCACCTATCCGGATTAGCTTTATGACCCCATCTCATTGTAGTTCCATCGTCTGCAGAAACAAAAGTAGGTTTGTTTCCATCTTGGTTAGGTTCTGAATGAACTTTAAACAATGTTTCATTTCTATATGTTTTCTTGAAATTTAACCTTTTATCTTCACCGAGTTCATCCGAAGATTGAACGTTAAATGCTCGTAAGTAAAAAGGGTTGTTGTATTTGTGTACATTTTTTTTCAGTTCTTCCATTCTATGCTGAATATTTTCATCTGGTGTTGGAGTCTTTTGTATGTCGGCAAACATTTTTCGATATTCTTCTACTATGTCAGCCGAATTTTTTTTAGACTCTTGGAAATATTCCATATTCTCCGCATACTCTTGTTGAGGGTCAAGATTTTTCGGCTGTTCCAAATCTTCATCTAGTTCTGTGAAGTTAGTTTCCAAAGGAGTGACTTGTTCGTTTCCTTCAGGCTCTTCTAGCTGTTGTTGCTGAACTATTTCTTCCATGTCTGGTTGTATCTGAACTTCTTCCTGTGGAGTTTCTTGTACCTCATCTGCTGGCATTTCATATATTCCGAGACCGTTTTTAACAAGTTCCCTATCTAAGTCATCCGCATTCATAACCTTTTTTCTTTCGTTCCGTCTCTATTTTTTACGCGTTTCATGAGAAGTTGAATTGTCATTTAGCTCTGACACCAAATATCTCGGAGTAAATTCATCATGTCATTTGGATGATATGCTATTAAATCATATCCCTTAGCGAGCTTGTATTTTCCAGGTTTGAAATTATATCCATTTGGTGCTGAGCCATAAAGCTAAATAGGTTCGGGTCAGTATTTCCTTCCTTGAACTTTCTAATAGCTTCTTTATATCTGTCACTAAAGTCAAGAGTATCTGGGTAACCATAGTCTTCTTTAAGCATTTTTAAGAATTCTTGGTTTCCTTGTTCTCTACTTCTTTTATGTCCTTGCTCTGTTTGTGGTTGTTGTTGTGCAGGGTTTTGAACTGTTGGTTGCTGTGCTGGTTTTGAACTGTTGGTTGTTTGTTGGATTTTGAACTGTTGGTTGTTGTGTTGGTTTTGGTGCATGCCTGTGTCTGTGTCCATGTGACGATGTAAATGTTTTAGGTAGTCCTGGTGCAGGTGCTTCTCTTGGAGGGTTTGGTGGTATATAAGTTCCACCAGCTGGCACATATGTTCCATCTGCAGCGTAATGTCCTACCTGACTTTTCGTTTTTAAGAAAGCATTTACTAGGTCTGTTTTGGTCTGTTGTAACTCTTTTTCTTGACTTTTCACAACAGTTGCTCTAACGGCGTCATAGGCACTTTGAACTGCCTGTCTCGTTGCTGCATCTGTTATTTTCGTCATATTTTGTGCTACTTCTTTTAACTCTTTGTCGAAACCTTCAGACTTCAGTTTCTTTCCAGATGAGAAATCGTTCACTTGTTTCACCTTACTATGAAGAGCTTCGAAGGCGTTCTTAAAGTCAGCATTCGTTAAAGCTTCATTTGAACTGTCTTCATCCGCTTGTATTTTTGTCCTTATTGACCCTATGAGTTGGGCTGCTTTAGCGTTGGCTTGGGCATCTAACCAGTCATTGTTAGCTTTTATATATTCTGCGCTTTTCATTGCCTTTTGCATGGCTGCGTCGTTATTTTTACTTTCTTGTGCTAAGTTTTCATACTGTACGGTTTGGTTTTGCAACTGTAAAAGTTTTTCTGCCTTTACATTTGCTTCAACTTCTTTTTTATACTCATCGCTATCCATATATGTCTTCAGGGCTTTTTGTTTTATCTCTTCATCTTTCAGTACTTTATATTGAGTAGTATGGTTTTTCAAATTTATGACATCTTGTTCCATTTTTGCTACTTCTGCTGCTTTTTCTGACACTTTTTTCGCATATTCCTCTGTACTTAGTTCTTTCAGTTGTTCTTCTTTCTTCTTTTTCTCTACGTTTAACTCATTGAGTTTCTTTGTGTGTCTGTCATATTCTAGTTTCTTTTCGTTTTCACTTATTTGTTTCTGTATGTCTATGTTTGACTTTTTGACATCTGTTATTTGATTTTTGAGTGAACTCAAATTCATTTGACTTTGAGGGTTATAGGCTGTTCCGTCTGCAGCTCCACCATAGCCTGCCATTTTCGCTAAAAGTGCCGCTCTTAAACCTCCACTCTGTGCACCAACAACTCGGTTTAAAAGCATAGGATTGCTTGACATTTGTTGCAACATAGTGGGGTCATTCAGCATTTGTTGTTGCAACTGTTGTTGTGGTGTCAGTTTTACTATTGGATGTTTCAATGCTCTCTTCCTCTTACGTATATTCTTACGTAGCTTACGTGGCATTTTAAGTGAAGTTAAAAAGCGGCTTTTGACAGATGTTTTATTGTGACTTCTTCGTAAAGACTTTGTTGAGATTTCTTCGTAAATGAGTGTAAATGACCCAAAAATATATTTTAGGGTAGAAGGTTATATATAACCTCTTTTCTAACCTCTTTTCTACCCTCTTGAATTTTCATGAATTTCTTCGTAAAGACTTTGTTAAGACTTCTTCATCTAATTTCTCATGAACTTTCTTGTCTATGTTTTGTTGAGATTTCTTCGTAAAGACTTTGTTGAGATTTCTTCGTAAATGACCCTAGTAGTATATTTTTGGTGTAAATTTCATGAAAATTCAAGAGGTGAAAAATTAGGTGAAAAAACAGGTTATATCTCACCTCTTCACCTAAAATATATTTTTGGTGTAAATTTCATGAAAATTCAAGAGGGTAGAAAAGAGGTTAGAAAAGAGGTTATATCTAACCTTCTACCCTAAACATTATTTTTGGTGTAAATTTCATGAAGAAATCTCAACAAAGTCTTTACGAAGAAGTCTTGACAAAGTCTTTACGAAGAAGTCTTGACAAAACATTTACGAAGAAATCTT